TTTTTTTATGGATAGACAACTTCTGTATTGCAATGGATGCAATGTTTCGGTGTAGATGCTAACCCTGTTATCTCGCTTGATAACACTGAAACGTCACATCCATTGCAATTAAGAAATTGTCTATCCATAAAAAAAAATCGTTCCTGTACTTTATGACAGATTGTTCCAAATTTCATTTAGCTTGGTCACATTGAGACAGGTGAGCTACAGAACCTATTAGCATGGCATTATGTTTAGCCATAAGGTATATGTTACTTGACGGACACATGTAGGTGTTTTATGGAACTGTTTTATAGTTAGCACAGAAAAGGTTGTTCACATATACCACCCATTAGCCGACTGTCCAGCTGTAGAATCCACAAGTTGGTCAGTGAAGTGTAGTGACCACAAGCCTGTCAGTGCTGTGTTGTGAACACTAGCCTGCCAGTGTTGTGTGTTGACCAATAGCTGGTCAGCCTATGCAATAGTATACAACTTAGAACCTCACACTATGCATGTAGCTAGCCTGTTTGTGGTATACAGTATTTCCTCTTGTAAATGTTAGTGTAATGCTTGGTCTCTAACTCATGCTAGATATTTAATAACACCAGAAAGTTTTGTGGTGAAATTGAAAAGAAATGTTCAGTAATTGTTAAGCCACACTGGTGAGCTTGTACATAATTTTCCAACCCTTAGAGTATTATCTAAAGACATTTTTTGGTATTTAATAGAGGAAATACACATATTATCAGCTCCCTGCACACAGGGAGGGGCCAAGAGTTGCCTAGTAATGTTAGGTGCCAAAATTGACTGTGCAGAGTTGTGTCCCCTGTGCATGCAAGGAACCTATGATCATGGTTCTGAATTCCAGTTCACCACATTAAATGTTTTGGCTTGTCAATACTGTGCCTAAGCTCGTGAAGCACCACTTCAGGCGTTCCCATGTTGCTGAAAAACTGTGACATAGCTGGACCCCTTTCCAAAGTAGCATTAAATGCACTCACTCACACAATCAGTGTTCCAAATTAGGGGAGTTGGTGGGGTAGCCTAGTGGTTAAAGTGTTCGCTTGTCACACTGAAGACCCGAGTTCGATTCCTCACCTGGGTACAATGTGTGAAGCCCATTTCTGGTATCCCCTGTCATCAGATTGCTGGAAATATTGCTGAAAGCAGCTTAAAAATACACTCACTCACTCACTCACTCCAAATTAGGGATGGTCCTGGGGTACTTGATATAGCTGCCCTGATGTTTCAACAAAAGGGTGAGAAGGAACCCAGTTCTTTCAGGCCTAATTGTATACACTGCAAACAAGGATTAAAGGGGCACTTTGAGATGGTTGTATGTCTGTATATATACATATTTATATCTCCCGTTGTATATATTGTATCCTATTTTACCTGTATCTGGGTGAGTAGAGGCAAATACTTGATGATCAGATGAATTGTTAAAGGTAACTTGATGTGGATTAGATGAATTCTTATAGGTAACTAAATGTGGATCAGATGAATTGTTGAAGGAAACTAAATGTGGATCAGATGAATTGTTTAATTGGCAACAGTGTTTGCTTAGCAAGATAGGATGTCACGTTGCTCTTCTCTGGTTCAGGGCCCTGTTAGACAAAGCTGGCTTTTATGATCGCAACTCCTATACTTTAACATAGCCGATCAATAATTGTAGAACTAAGATCGCTTTGTCTAACAGGGTTCTGCTTGCAGCGATAGTGTTGAAATATTGCAGTAATATTGCTGAAATATTCCTGGGATATTACCAAAATATTTTGCTAATATTGTTGAAATATTGCTTATATATCCCTATGGTGTTGCTGAAATCTTATCATGAAACAGAAGTAATGCTGTTTAGATATGGCTTAAATATTCCAGGGATATTGCTGTAATATTGCTGAAATATCATGAAAGATATTGGTGAAATCTTGTGCTCATATTGCTGAAATATTGTGGCAAATATTCCCGAAATGTAATGGTGATATTCTTGAATATTGCTGAAATATTTAGATAATATTGCTGAAATAATCAGGTAATATTGTTGAAATATCATATTGCTGAATGACAATGGCAAAACACAAAATTCTACACTCGCTCACTATAAATAATCATAAAGGAAATTTACTAAGGGACTTAAAGTGAACATATTCCCCCTGGCAGTGTTTTGTAAGTACTCAAAGAGCCCCTTTAAGGAATCCATTTGTGGCCCACTGTGTAAAGCCCTGTGTTCCCATTCAAACATAGAACATGTGTCCCTTGTTGTTGAGTTGTACATGACATAACCAATAGAAGTCGTCAGTCTCATCATCAGGTGGAGTGCTGCATCTCATGCTTAAGCTCACTTACCATATTTATCCAATGAAAGCCCCTCCTAACCATCTGGGCAAAATTCTCCAAATGACATTTTTTGTAATAAAACATAATTGTGAGCAAAAGGACCACCCTTGCTGCCACCTCCAGAACTAAGTGCCCAGTGCTTTTATTATAACAAATATGGTACTTGTTTATATTTAAAGAATGTGTTGTGCTGCACGACTGTCGAGTTGTGAAATATCTGTTTAAATGGCATCAGTTTAGAGGAACTATATTTTGTTGTGTATTGTCATGGTCATTGTGTCCCTTCCATTCCCATCCCGACCCTTCATCGGTCGTACGAAATAACTCACCAAGAGTGGCTTGCAAATCAGCTATTCTACTCAAAAAAGGTTAAGGACCACCCAGTTCATTAATATGGGTCAAGACATGGACCCCTGATTCTTAAATATCATTGGACACAGCACAGATTGTTTAATATTACTGTAGTCAATCTGTTATGACATGATATTCTTTAATATTACTGTAACCCGTGAAGATCCGGGTTAGAATATTGATCTTCAGTAACCCATGCTTGTCGTAAGCCAGCAACTAACAGGATCGAGTGGTCAGGCTCGCTGACTTGGTTGACACATGTCATCGGTTCCCAGTTGCGTAGATCGATGCTCATACTGTTTATCACTGGATTGTCTGGTCCAGACTCGATTATTTACAGACCGCCGCCATATAGCTGGAATATTGCTGAGTGTGGCGTAAAACTAAACTCACTCACTCACTAATATTACTGTAGTCAATCTGTCATGGACCGCCCAGTTCTTTAATATTACTATTTTTAATCTGTCCTATCCATAAATATTACTATAGTCAAGCTGTTAAGACATGGGGTGTCCTTAACTTCTTTTGAGTAATGCAGTTCGGCTTTGGGCCACGAGCTAGCGGGCCAGTGGCTATTTCGCACACTGCATCAGCCTTAATGATGTGAGAGCAATACAGCAACATCCATCCCAGGAAGCTTACATCAGCCTCTCAACACCCTCGTTTTATACCCCAGGTACCCATCCCCACCCTCGTTTTATATCTAACCCCAGGAAGCTTACATAACCCTTACCTCACTTTTTCTAAATTTATATGTCTGCATTTGTTCTCACAACACCATCCTCACATATATATTGTTCAACACATCCCCATCTCTCACACCATCACAACTCCATATATATACTACTCACACTTTGATAAGGATCACAAAAATTCAGAACTTTAAACAGATTAATAATTTGAAATTGTATCCATTTAAAACTGGATGAATAATAATATGGTAACCCCTCTTTAGGCAAACAGTCACTTGAATCTAACCTTATGCACTTGGTACAGGAGTAACCATAGAAACGGTTTTCATGGCTCTAATCAACCATTTTGCATATCATGGCACGAGTCATTGACAAATAAACAGCACCTGTCAATAGCAGGTATGGGATCCACAAGATGCAATGACATACTGAAACCTAGGAACCATGCTTACAATAAGCTTAGATATTTATACCAAATTAGACCCCACTTCATAGTTTTCTGTTGAATCCATGATTTGATCCTTAACAAAGTGTGAATAGTATATGTCACATCACCAACACAACATTACTTCATCACTTAAGTAGTTTACAGATCCACCTTCCCATCTGCATCACTTCCACCGAAATTTGAACAAAAATTAAGTACCGGTATGAAAACGGAATACCTATTATTTATCTGAATTTTCAAATATATCCGTAAACCTGGATGTAAAACATGTCTGGTCTAACCAACAATCGCTCCCCTAAAGAACCAGCCGGGAAGCACATATCCTTGCCCCATACCTAAAACCCATACCATGAATATTCTTTTTCGATACCCACCACACAACCTGTTTACCTCAAGTCAAGTTGCCCTATCCTTGTTGTGGTTCCATTTCATGCCATCGGACTCATTCACACTAGGTCCCAGGACTGACATTTTTGAGTCCAAGATCTCACATTGCTAATCACATGACACAGGACAAGCCATCTGGCTAGAGATTTCGCACCACTTGTTTCAAATCCTGTGTCAGTAACTGCTACACCAGTGTTCTCCGAGTGTGGGCTTATGTGATTTGTTGAAAGCCGTGCACAAAAGAAAGAATAGACATTATTTGGTCTACGAGATCTCACATTGCTAATAACCTAACACAGGACACACCATCAGGCAAGAGACATCGTGAACCTTGTTTCAAATTCTGTGTCAGTAAGGGTTAGAATTGGTCTTCAGTAACCCATGCTTGTCGCAAGAGGCGACTAACAGGATCAGGTGGTCAGCCTCGCTGACTTAGATCGATGCTCATGCTGTTGATCACTTGATTGTTTGCTCCAGACTCGATTATTTACAGATCACCGCCATAATAGCTGGAACATTGCTGAGTGCTGCGTTAAAACAACCAACCATTGACCTTCAGTCCACCCACATTCACCCCATCTCATTGACCCTCAGCCCACCCAGGTGACCCACCCACATTCACCCAATCCCACTGACCTCAGCCCACCCACCCACATTCACCCCATCTCATTGACTCTCAGCCCACCCCAGGTGACCCACCCACATTCACCCAATCCCACTGACTCTCAGCCCACCCCTGGTGACCCCCACATTCACCCACACCTCAGCCCACCCAGGTGACACCCAATCACCCAATCCACTGACTCTCAGCCCACCCTGGTGACCCACCCACAATCACCCAATCCCACTGACTCTCAGCCCACCCAGGTGACCCACCCACCCCATTCACCCTCAGCCCACCCAGGTGACCACCCACATTCACCCCAATCCCACTGACTCTCAGCCCACCCTGGTGACTCAGCCCACCCAGGTGACCCACCCACACCCACCCACCCACATTCACCCCATCCCACTGACTCTCAGCCCACCCACATGTACCCCATCCCACGGACCCTCAGCCCACCCAGGTGACCCACCCAGCCCCACCCAGGTGACCCACCCACATTCACCCAATCCCACTGACTCTCAGCTCCAGCCCACCCTGGTGACCCACCCACATTCACCCCATCTCATTGACCCTCAGCCCACCCAGGTGACCCACCCACATTCACCCAATCCCACTGACTCTCAGCCCACCCAGGTGACCCACCCACATTCACCCCATCTCATTGACCCTCAGCCCACCCAGGTGACCCACCCACATTCACCCCAATCCCACTGACTCTCAGCCCACCCTGGTGACCCTCCCACATTCACCCCATCTCATTGACCCTCAGCCCACCCTGGTGACCCTCACACCATCCACTTGACCTAATGCATCCTAACCCCACAGAAGTCCCAATGTAGATCTACCTACATTAACCAAGTGTCTAAGGACACCTTCATATAACCAACACATGTGGTACTCGTGGTAGAATGTGCTCAGATATGAGATTATTAGAAATGTTCAGTACCTACCCTGTTACTGTGATTCATATGGCATATAGATTTTGGAGGTATGCACAATTATATCGTATATCAGGTTGTTGTTGATGTATCATAATTAATATCATGCAAATAAAAATACATTGTTATCTACTTGGTTGTCTGTTTATTGTTTCGTTACCGTGGCAACTGAAAAGAAATTATGTTCATAGCTAACCTGTATCACTATATATACTATGCATATATATACACAGAGAGAGAAAGACATGTTAACGTGTTTCACATTTACCGTAGTCAGGATTGCAAAATTTCAGTTTGAAACCAGTCATAAAAATCGTATCTTTTACCCTAAAACAATCGCTCTGTGTGTAAATAACTGAGGATGTATCCAGCAAGCCTGACCACCTGACTGACCCGTTAGTCACCTCTATTGACAAGCATCGGTTGCTGAAATCCAATTCTAACCTGGTTTTCACTGGGAAAAATATTTGTTTTAAAGAATGTACATTAATTTATTATATAAATATTTCAACAACCCAATTCAATTGCATTTTTTTAAAAAGTTTGCATAACAAACAACAAACATTCACAAATTCAGTTGTCCTTTAATCTATAACAACTTCCATTTTTTTTACAAATGATGCCTCAATTAAAGAATGACAGTATAAATATAAACTATACACCTGCCATAATCACTTAGAAAATAATAACATGAATCAGCACACAAAGTCTTACAGACAAACTCACAATTTGCATAATCTTTGCATTCTGTTCAGAAGTTATTTCGACAAAATACAACAAAACAAGCCTTTAAAACAAAATATATACAACAGATGTTCAAGGGAGCCATAAACAATAATATATATTTGGTGAGTAAAACCATTTTTGGTTCTCTTAAGCACAAGGATGCTTAAAACAAGGCATTATTACTGTGGCATTTTTTTTTTTCAAATTCATAAAGTGACGCAAATTACCTTTTATTTCAAATCATTGTCAATGTTTTTTATTTTTATTTGAAACATTGACTAAAACACTCTTGACTAAGTTAAGGACCATAATATTTTTATTCAACAATATTGTGAATGAGTAGGTGGTCTTAACGATATTAATTAGTGTTGTGATGAGGATGATGGCAACACTAACAAATAATGCAAGATATGTAATACATAAACTTTGATAAAAGTAAGGCAGGTTAATAAATACAGACAAAATGACAGTAGACCTAGCAGGGTTTGAACTTACAACAGAATAACCAGCAATCTGCTGTGACAAGGTAGGTGCAGGGTGTACCCTCACATATGAAGGGTTCCAGTTGATCGATCACAGGGCATACAACTGACTCTGAACTATGACAAGGTAGAGGTAGGTTGAACCCTCAGTTTTGAGGGTCTCTGATTCAGAAGCAAGTTGATCTGTCAGAGGTCGAACATGTAACTTAACGACCAGCTCTCAACTTTATGAAAGTTGAAGCCTCAATTTTGAGGGGTGTCTGATTCAGAAGCCAGTTGATCTATCAAAGGGCAAACCTATTACTGGAGAACCAGCTCTCAACTTTGTGAAAGTTGAACCCTCAGTTTTGAGGGTGTGTGATTCAGAAGCCAGTCGATCTATCAGAGGGCAAACATAACTGGACAACCAGCTCTCAAAATGGTCAAAGTTGAAGCCTCAGTTTTGAGGGGTCAGTTGACCTCTCTGACTGAGTGCTCCGACAATAACCACAATATACTGATCAGGAGTGTTTGGTTTAATGGCGCCTTAAACAATATTTCAGTCCAACAAAAGGGTAGCTGATTTATGTGAAAAGATATTACAAATGGATGCAGGTTTTCGACATTTACCACTTTAGCGAAGCCCACAAGTATCGGTAAGATGTTGACAAACATACAGACATAATCAGGGCAAAGCGGGATTCAAACTCAGTATTACAAATTTCCAACCTCCCAAAGGGAAGCAACTCTGTTTTACTCTGCCTTTAGATGACTGGGCCTATGAGAAAAGAGCTAATATTTTTAAAGCCACCCCTGAAATTGTACCTTGATTACAAAAAGCTTCTCTTTATATGTTCTCTTTATATGTTCAATAATTGTATCTAGGGCTGCAGCAATTCACCCAGACCTCGATTCGATTCGATTTTTGATATTGGACACACAATTTGATCATTTTCGATTAGATTCTTCATACAAGTAAAATCATGAGATTTCATTTAACTCTCAGAATCGGCTTTTTTAGAAAATCCATCATCAACTTGGCGATGTCTACTAACAACAATTCTCATTGGATAATTAGCCTGGTGTCAACCAATCACATTTCGTCTTATTTCAGCGCTCGAAACTGCTCGAGTTGGAGTCAAACTTACATTCTGGCTGTGTGGAAATAATTTCAATAGGTATTCAAATATCGAATCAAAATAGTGATAATTTTTATTGAAAATTGAAACTAAGATGTCAGATTCGATTTTCGATGAATCTAACCAAATCGTTGCAGCCCTAACTGTATCCATATACATGTACTGCACAAATTATGAAAGTTTCCATATTATTGCTATTTCAAGAACCTTATAGCTTGCAGTCTCCCTCTATGAAATATTCAAGCCCTCTGTACTCCAGTTTATGTGTGGGTCTTCCATATTGTTAACCACAAAAATTACAGCTGTCAACAGACAGATTCTGCTGTTTTCAATGAAGCTTAAATGGGTAACTGTGTTAGTGGTATATGTGATAATGATCTCAGAAAAACAACTTGTCCAGACAAGAAAATATAATAATTATGCTGATGCAAAACAAGTTCAGTTTGAGACATTCTTAAAGTTTGGATGTAAAAGATGAAACGATGCTGATACTGTTCAGTTAACATGTGACAGGTTGTGAAAAATATTTCTTTTTTTCATTCAAAAACAAAACTCCCAGGCCACAAGAAAATAAAATGGCGATAAGCTATTGTACATTGATAATAATCACAGCAATTCTGTGACAAACTGTCACTATGGTTACGTACCGAGTTTTGGTTGGTTTGGTTGTTTAACGCCACACTCAGCAATATTCCAGCTATATGGCGGCTGTCGGTAAATAATCAAGCCTGACCAGACAATCCACTGATCAACATCATGAGCGTCGATCTAAGCAATTGGGATACGATGACATGTCACAACCAAGCCAGCGAAGCCTGACCACAAGATCCCTTTGTCGCCTCTTATGACAACCATGGGTTACTGAAGATCAATTCTAACCCGGACACAATTTGTCATGATAAACCCTTGTCAGTCACATGACTTCATTCACATTCTGTGCTTCATGTTGATGTGCAACATGATACGATTCAAAGTACATGATTACGGAAATTAAATAAATTTCAAAACATGTTTCCTGAATGCAACAGTGATTTGTTTAAAATTTGTATGAAAAGAATATAATATAGACAGCATGATTCTGTGAAAAAGGGCAACAGTTCAAGAAAACAAATGTCCATGTACAATTTTAAATCACATAACCGATCTACTGACATTGTTTGTTCCAATATTGAGTGCTACTGGTACAACCAGAACAACATAGAAACAACAGCAACAACACCTGATAAAAGTCCCTGATTACAAGGGACGAGTTTTGTGAAACTTTCTCACCACACCCCTGCCTCGATAAGATACTCCCAGACTAGAACTACAGTCAAACACCACTGTAAGAGTGAGTGAGTTTAGTTTTCATCAACTTCTAAAATGCCAAACAGATCAAACACCATTGTGTTGAAGTTAAAAGGACTTATATAAATACTTTGAGTTATTTGAGGTTCGACATAACCGAAAAACTGGCATACATTTACTGACCCAGAAACATGATTTAAGTGAACTTACATCACCATGACCAGTCATTACAAACAACTGATGTTAAATTGTGAATTTATTCACCAAATTTCAAACGTGAAATTGTTAAACATATTGCCACAGTCATGCTCAGTACATTCCCCGAGCAGACGCCAAATGTCGGAAGAGAACAAAACAAGGAGTTTAACCGGAGATTCAGTAATTGCTGAATTGTGTTTGATTTTGAAGATGGATGATGTTTTGAAATGCCAGGACCACTTAGAGAGGCGTATTGGTGACCTACAGAACAGTGCGGCCACTCCTGAGGGTCAACAAACTGACCGGAGCGAGACCGGATGTCCCCAGTCACTATCACAGCACAGCAACATTCCCACAGTATCATAGTATATGCTTAATGGATATATACAGAACAGCATTGTATACTATCTTACTAATGTACTGAGTATGACTGACACACTGGCAACACCTGTTGCTAGATGTCACATGACTGGTCACGTGATTACAGATTTGCGATTAAGTTTCGGAACCCTGCTGAAGTACTGTTGATGCTTCATACTGGGATTTCCTGTATATAAGCCCATGTTAAATGAAGCCCATGGGTCTAAAATCGAGATTTTTCCTGTTTTCTTTGGCTTGAATCTGAAGCAGGGGTATGGTAAAAATGTTTCCAATATTACAACACTTGTATAAACATTGCATAGATACATGGAACCTGAAATACATCACAAACCTTGTCAGTTTCAGAGTCCAATGACAGACAAAGCAGCATGTGTCATTAAGTGCTGTACATGTCACTCATGTTCGAATGAACCATACATTAGTGTGTAAATGATGACATAATAAACAGTCTAGTTTTATATGTTAATTCTGCATTTCTTTTTAAAAAGGTACTTGAAATATTTACGGAGGTTTCATTTCAACTTAGTTTCTCATAATACCTGTAGGGTAGCCCTGTGGTTAAAGTGTTTGTAATGCCAAAGACCAAGGTTTGATTCCCCACATGGTTACATTATATGAAGCCCATTTCTGTGTTCCCTGACACTACAATGCTGGAATATTGCTAAAAGCAGCATGAAATGCATTCTCTTCCCACAGAGGTTACTTGTCATATCTTCCTACGAACCTCTGATCTAATACGGCCATATTTCCCGGTTCTGGTAAAATCCCCTAGCGGCAAAAAGTCGCAACACGAATCATCTCCCTTCTTTCTATCCAATCAGAAAACGTGTTACAACGACTTAGATCCAACTTGATTAACACAAGCAAATGTGGGGCCAAAAATATCCGTCCTCCACCGTTACATGACTGAGTTCTGTCTAGAAGAAACGTTTGCGCATCGCGCAGGGGAAGAGGTTCTAGTTTTCCTGAAGCATACGGAAATTGCCGAGGCCTTGCGAATGATCACTTTTGAAACGTCGCTGATTGCACAACTAAATCTGATTGCCTCCAATCATGAATCCTGAACACCCGCACCATGAAAGGGCCGCATTAGAACAGAGGTTTGTAGGAAGATATGACTAGTAACCTCTGTGCGAAGAGAATGCATGAAATGATACTGAATTACAAAAGAGCGTGAATATTACAAACGTTTGTAATTACGAGGAATAAGTCATAAATCAAGGCAATGAGGTGTGTGTTCGATGCTCGGGTAGTCATTCTTATCCATTGTGTGTTCTGATGATACCGAAGTGACTCCTAGTGGAGGCTGATGCTGAAATGTCATTACCCATGACTCCAAAGTGAGGTGAGGTTAGGTGAAATTGGGTTTTACGTCGTGCTTGAGAATATTTCGCTCATATGATGACGTGCATGCGTGTGTATGTGTATGTGCGGCTGCTTGTACTAGCCCAGGCTGAAGCTGGTTTTAGTGCTAGCCCACTGAGATACCATGCCGCAGTGAAGCATGAATACCCCACTCAGACACATTATACTGACTCCGAGCCGACCAGTCCTTGTTGTACCCATTAATGCCGAGCACCAGGCAGGGACCAACAAGTACCATATTTTAACGTCTTTTGGTATGACGCGGTCGGGGATCGAACCCGCGACCTTCCTCTCCGGGTGGACGCTCTAACCACTACACCACGGAGGCGGTCGACTCCAAAGTGACGTTACGGCATAGCGCAATCTAACAATGTCTTATTGACATTATCACAGAACACATCTGGTTTTGAATAAAGATCATTCGAGCGTTCCCTTTAAGGACTCACGTTTTCTTCACGTTTACATAAGCAAACATCAATCTCTTTGTTTACCATGGTATCACAATTTAATGTCATTTTCATTTCTTATGGAACTGAGTATATATTCTCTCACTCACCTACATATTACCTCTATGCATGACTACACCATGATACCTCTGAAGAGGTTCTGACCAAGCCAGCCTTTACTCCATTACTTAACACAGACAGTAACAGCTGATACAGTCAGGTTATAAGAAGAGTCCTGGGCCGAAGCAGTCATGGTTTTTGTGTGGCTTTTAGCAATATTCCAGCAATATCATGGCAGGGAACCCAAGAAAAGGGCTTCACATGATGTACCCATGTGGGGAATCAAATCCCGGTCAAGCGAACACAGGGGTGGAAATAACTTTATAATTGATAGTGTACTCCGGTACAGTGGCACATGTAAAATCACTTGCCCTGATAAGTTTTCCACTATACCAGCCGTTTTATTGTTGATTTTTTAAATAAACAACATAATTATTATTGGAAAGTCAACTGGACACCAGTACAGTGTGAATACAAATTTGCTTGCCCAACAGAAAAAAACACTGGACTCGGGCGTCGGGCAATGGGTTATTTCCACCCCTGGAACACATTTATCACGAGGCTTCCCTACTTCCCCCTATTTGAAGGTATTGGTCTTATTGGATCATCTTAACGCTAAGATCGCTTAATGGGACAGATTCATAGCCAAAGCAAACGTAGCAAACCCTGGGCCTAAAATCCATGTGTAAAGATTTAAGGTTTACAATAACTCAAGCAGCAAATATTTAGAAAGTCAGTACCCAAAAAGAGATCTTAGCGCTACGATTGTCTTAACTCTACATTAATGTAATCGAGTCACGATTCTCTTAGCATGATGATCACGGTGTGGAATGGTGACCAGACACCTGATACCAGCAGATTTGTCAGATGAAATAACTCAGAATACATGATCAGTTCCGATGGACACAGAAAACAGTTCAATACACACGATATGTTTGGCGTATGGGGAATATTCTCTATCAAATGTACACAATCCTTTGTTTAGATCAAACTCATTCCAGTAACTGGATTTCACTATCATTAGGAAAATAGCATCTTATGTGATTAACCTAATACCATTTGAAGGAAAACATGAAATAAATTAAATAAATTGTGTGCAGCACTGAACAAAAGCATCTGCTAATATATTAAAAATAGAACAGCACTCTTTCAAGTGATTTCTTTTTCATTTGAGAAATGAGTACCACATTATGTAGTGAGCGAGTTTAGTTTTACGTCCTTTTAGTAATATTCCAGCAATATCACGGTGAGGGACATCAGCAATGGTCTTCACACATTGTACCCATGTGGGGAATCAAACCCGGGTCTCCGGCATCACGAGGTAATGCTTTAACCACTAGGCTACCCCACAGCCTCCATGTTATGTAGTGAAATCTTTATATTTCAGCAGGAACTTATGACAAGCATGACCCTTTCTTGTATACTACTCAAAAAAGGTTAAGAAAGGCAGTTTATTGCAGTATTGACCATCCATGACAGATGACCTATAACCATAGGACACAATTGGTTGTCTTTGAACATCCTCTGAGTAGTATAGTATAAGGTGAGCTTATAAATATTTACAGTAAGCATCACAAGGAAGCACCAAGGTTGGTAAAAGAATCACGGCGCCACTGCAGGAATATGTCACTTTAGGATTTCCAGAGTCGTCATTGATTCTGACCAAAAACCCATTTGCGGGATAAAGTTTTATCATTTCCAGAGACGTCATTGATTCTGACCAAAAACCCAGTCTGCAGGATGTAGTTTTATCATTTCCAGAGATGTCATCAATTCTGACCAAAAACCCATTTGCGGTATAAAGTTTTATCATTTCCAGAGCCATTATTGATTCTGACCAAAAACCCAGTCTGCAGGATGTAGTTTTATCATTTCCAGAGACGCCATCAATTCTGACCAAAAAACATTTGTGAGATAAAGTTTTATCATTTCCAGAGACATCATTGATTCTGACCAAAAACCCATCTGCAGTATGAAGTTACAAAAAATCAACTAATATTCTGAAAATTCAACTTCGTACTCTTTTTAATAACATGGTACCCACATGATCATGGCTTTGACAGACATACCTTAATCCCCCACATGTGACAGTCAAAGTGTTTGTAAATTCTACATCTTCTAGCTGTGACTACGAATATTTTAAAGTCGATGTATGGGAGTTTTGTTCATTATAAGGGTAAAATCGCTTTGAGCATGTGGGCATTGACCAGTGTGCCTTACAAACAAGAATGTTTTTGTGGACTAGTTAGTTAAGCCATAACTGGCTCTTTGAAAGAATACATTCTCGATTCTCGTTTTTTGGCAAATCATGGAACAGAACAAAAAATATATCTGTGATTTTCTAGTAATCCAGTAATTATATCACGATTTGTCTGTAGTTCACCATCTGAGGTGCTGCGAACACTTCGTAAATCGGGACTCTGCTGCTTATTAGTTCTTATACAAGCATGTGATAGTTGGGATTTAATCCACCCAAGAATCTCCCCAAGGGAAATTGTATGCTGATACTCGTATAGCTGACATAGCTCACAGTTTTAAGTACGCAATGATGAAGCAGGTATTGTCTGACCAGCAGTAATCTAACATCCTTCACAGGTTTGTATACACTGAGTGAGTGAGTTGAGTTTTATGCTGCATTCAGCAATATTCCAGCTATATGGCGGCAGTCTGTAAATAATCGAGTCTGGGCCAGACAATCCAGTGATCAACAGCATGAGCATTGATCTACCTAATTGGGATACGATGACATGTGTCTACCAAGTCAGCAAACCTGACCACCTGGCAAGCTATTCTCGAAACGTTCGTAGCAATACAAACTTCTTAAGGCCATTCTTAACACATTGGCAACGATTAAAGTTAAGAATTCTTAGGGCTACGAATGCTTCAAGAATAAGGGCCCTGATACCGCTAGTCGCCTCTTACGACAAGCATGGGTTGCTGAAGATCAATTCCAACCCTGATCTTCACGAATCACAAGTGACAGAGTTTGATCCCTGTCCAGGTCAAGACAATAGACTCTGGATGTCTGGAAATCAGCATTAAAGGGCTTTAAGCATAGACGATTGGACAAGTACATAGTCTGTGCTGGAGTAGTGTATCAGTGTAAAACTGTGGCAGCATTATATCTCCGTGGGCTAGCACTATTAAAATGGCATAAATCTGGACTAGAACAAGCAGGAATTCCACCACACACACAGACACACAAATGCACACAGGCAGCATGCATGTCGCTACATCAGTGTAATAATTTTGAACACAGCATTACACTTAAACACTTCACTTCACCTCCATCCCTCATGAATACATCAGGCTGACGTGCATGTTGTGGTGACGATGTTGATGGGATGGTGTTGTGGTGACATACATCTGTTTACCATCAGCCCATGATTTAAAGCCAAAATGTACTAACTGAACACTAGCGAGTCCTCTCCTAATCTGTGAAAACCTACGATTGCCAGCCAATGAAGCATGCATGCACATAATTTCCAAAAACAAACAGCTCAGCAAACTAATGTCTGTGTGTCTGTTACGATAAATTGTTTTGTAACTTTTACTATTTTTTCCAGATTTTCTCAGTATTTTGTGCCAGCAACCCATAAACCAATAGTTGTTCATCCATATATTGTTATCCTTCCTTAGTGCCCCAAATTCTAAATGCCTCCCAAACAAGTCCAAAGAGCCAGATGATGGTAACTTAGCGTATACAAACGCGAAGCAATGAAGATGACATTCAACGTCAGTCTACATGACCTTCAACTTCACCTGTACATGACTGCAATGCTACACTCAACAAATGCAAAATATTTGCTACTAAGAAGCTGACAGGTCATCGCAGGATTGACATCTTGATTGGCTTCATATATTATCATCATCCTCTTCAAAAGGTCTCCGACTGGAAGGCTGAAATAAATTATCAATAAATCAGCATAAATTTTATAATTTTACATTAAGCTGAATATTCTCTCATGCAGAGAAGAATAAAAAGCACCAGCTAGACAGTGAAGTCATAATTACTAGTATACAACAATAGCTAAAGATTATGGCAGAGTAATTGTGCACATTTGATCTACACTGTTTGTTTAGTTTGTTAGTTGTTTGTTGCACTCAGCAATATTTCAGCTATTATTATTATTATTATTATTATTACAGGATATTTATATATGGCAGCAGTCAGTAAATAATCAAGGCTGGACCAGACAATCCCGTGATTGTTTTTGTAAAACGCACCTCTCAGCAATTGTCCAGCTACATGACAGCAGTCTGTAAATAACTGAGTCAGGACTGGACAATCCAGTGATCAACAGCATGAGCATTGATCTAGGCGACTGAGATACAATGACATGTGTCAACCCAGTCAGTGAACCAGATGACAAGATAACTTGAGTCGCCTCTTACAACAGGCATGGGTTGCTGAAGACCAATTCTAACCTACTAGCAACCACAGTCTTACACTTACTTTCCTCCTGGTTTCACTATTATGACCCCTGACCTCAGCGTTGAACACCTGGTTGGTGCGATTCCTGGGACGAGCTTGACTTACAGCCTGGATTGGAAATGGTGGAGCATCATCTTCATTGAGGCTCCCATTTGTTCTGAATAATAACCATCAGGGAATTTTGAACATAGGATTACACCTTCTCAGTAAAATACAGATACTAGTACTTAATTACAGCATATTTCTTTGCTGTTTGTTGGTTATATACCTGCGCCCTTAATCTCGAAACGTTCTTAGCACTAAGAATTCTTAACTTTGATCGTAGCCAATGTGTTAAGAATGGGCTTAAGAAGTTCGTAGGTCTACGAATGTTTCGAGAATAGCTAGCCTGGGCCCTTATTCTCGAAAGGTTCATAGACTTAAGAATTCTTAACTTTGATCGTGAGCCAAGAATTTTAACTTTGATCAGTAGCCAATGCTAGCCTGTTAAGAATGGGCTTAACTTTGCAGTTCAGTTAAGAATCTAAATAACGCTTGAGAATAGCTAGCCTGGCCTTTTTATCAAAATGTTTGCAGCCCTAAGAATTTGTAACATTGATCGTAGCCAATGTGTTAGGAATGGGCTTAAGAAGTTCATAGGGCTAGGAACGTTTCGAGAATAGCTAGCCTGGGCCCTTTTTCTCGAAACGTTTGCAGCCCTAAGAATTCGTAACTTTGACCGTAGCCAATGTGTTAGGAATGGGCTTAAGAAGTATGTAGGACTATGAACGTTTCGAGAATAGCTAGTCTGGTTCATTTAGGCAGTGATCCTTGGTTAACATTATAGTTTCAAGGTGGAATCAACACATAACACCATTAGTGAGTGAGTATAAATTTAGGCCACTTCTAGCAATATTCCAGCAATATCACAGCGGGGGACACCAGAAATGGGCTTCACACATTGTTCCCATGTGGGGAATCAAACCAGGGTCTTCGGCATTATGAGCAAATGCTTTAACCACTAGGCTACCCCATCACCCCATAACACCATTAGTTGCCTCCTAAAACCAGCACGTTGTGGGGGACCTCCTGTAACCTGGAATCACAGCAGTGTGGCAGAGGCTGTGGTTTGGTTTGTTGTTTATCACTATGCTTAGCAATATTCCAGCTATATGTGGCGGTCTGTAAATAAACAAGTCTGGACCAGACAGTCCAGTGATCAACAGCATGAACATCAATCTACGCAATTGGGAACCAATGACATGTGTCAGCCAAGTCAGCGAGCCTTACCACCCAAACCTAGTCAACTCTTCTGACAAGCATGGGTTACTGAAGACCAGTTCTATTCCAGATCTTCAAGATTGGAAGAGGTTGTGAGTAGGTGAATATTGATTTCTACCACTGTCAGCAACATCACTTCCTTGTCAGACTGGAATCTGTACAAAGCTGACCAGCAGCTGGTAGAGAGTAAGTACTGACAAACCTCTGATCACTGATTCCTTTTATACCTAAGGAGGCAACTCTGAACAGGTAAAAGCGTCATCTAAGACCAACAGCAGTGATTTATTATCGAAAAGAATATGATGAAAATAACATGAATCAAATATATTTAAAGCCGACTGGAAACCTTTCACCACATATTTGAGTGAGTGAGTTAAGATTTATAGTCACATCAGCAATATTTCAGCCATATCGTGACTAAAACTAGTTCTAAATTCATAATACTGACATACAATATGTAAAACCCTGTCAACGAAGGACAGTAAAATTACTAGATTATCACAAAATGAGGTAAAACTAGCTAGCATATATCTTTAAAAGTAGAAAACTATTTTTGGACAAAACAAAGTAAAAATGGTCTATTGATGCCAACAACTAGGTAGATCACCATACCACGGACCATGGGGACTTACAGTATTTTTGCTACCTGCATGGACCCTAGCTGGATTTACATCATCCCTTCAGCCGCTGGCGATTGTAGTCGAATTAAGCCATAATTGAAGTTGAAATTTGCTTTAAATGTTTCAGGACTTACATACCCTCTCAGGAGGACAAAAGTTTTACAGTACTTTAACCCGCTTTGAGGGTACAGCCACTAACAATCTAAGTTACCAATCTAAACTACCAATCATTAAAACACATCTATCTACAGAACATATTAACCAAAATTTATCAGTTAAATTGCCATGGTAAAAAGATCCTTAACTGTTTTCACATTGAAATATTTATCCCTTATGATGGAGAACTTTACTCAGTCAACAACATATCTGAGTCTTTGAAATGTGGAAATACCTGAATGGTGGTTGTTACCCATCATCCGAACAGGACGGGAGAAACTCCAAACTGTCTTAAAATTGATAGGAAAGAGATCTGCACATCCCCATATTACCACAGTTGTGTGCATGAAGGGAATAACGATCCTCGTACTTAACATACAAAGAATTCCATCCCAGAGTTGTACAGACATATGAAACAGGTAATGGTCTATCGTACCTTCTCCTGCTGGGCTTGTGTTGTGTATTGGTTGGACGGCTGAGTTCCCGCATGACGTCACGGGTAGAGGCACTGGTGCTGTGTGTTGGCTTCTTCTTGGCACCTACAGAACAACATGAGTGAGTGAGTGAGTCACCTACGTCTTTATCACAGAGGTTGTACTGTTACTGTGGTCATTAGCCCTATATCATATGGGTTCACTATTTACCATAGAGTCTGCGATCAAGAAGCCTATACCATAGAGGTTCACTATTTACCATAGAGTCTGCGATCAATAAGCCTATATCATAGAGGTTCACTATTTACCATAGAGTCTGCGATCAATAAGCCTATATCATAGAGGTTCACTGTTTACCATAGAGTCTGCGATCAATAAGCCTATATCATAGAGGTTCACTATTTACCATAGAGCCTGTGATTAATAAGCCTATATCATAGAGGTTCACTATTTACCATAGAGTCTGCAATCAAGAAGCCTATGTCATAGAGGTTCACTATTTACCATAGAGTCTATTTACCATAGAGTCTGCATCAATAAGCCTATATCATAGAGGTTCACTATTTACCATAGAGTCTGCGATCAATAAGCCTATATCATAGAGGTTGACTATTTACCATAGAGTCTGCAATCAATAAGCCTATATCATAGAGGTTGACTATTTACCATAGAGTCTGCAATCAATAAGCCTATATCATAGATATCATAGAGTTCACTATTTACCATAGAGTGATCAATAAGCCTATCAATAAGCCATATATCATAGAGGTTGACTATTTACCATAGAGTCTGCAATCAATAAGCCTATATCATAGAGCCGAGCCACTATTTACCATAGAGTCTGCACATCAATAAGCCATAGAGTCTGCAATCAATAAGCCTATATCATAGAGCCGTCTGGCGCATCAATATTATCACCATTTACCATAGAGTCTGCAATCAATAAGCCTATATCATAGAGCCGTCACTATTTACCATAGAGTCTGCAATCAATAAGCCTATATCATAGAGCCGTCACTATTTACCATAGAGTCTGCATCAATAAGCCTATATCATAGAGGTTCACTATTTACCATAGAGTCTGCAATCAATAAGCCTATATCATAGAGGTTCACTATTTACCATAGAGTCTGCAATCAATAAGCCTATATCATAGAGCCGTCACTATTTACCATAGAGTCTGCGATCAATAAGCCTATATCATAGAGCCGTCACTATTTACCATAGAGTCTGCGATCAATAAGCCTATATCATAGAGCCGTCACTATTTACCATAGAGTCTGCGATCAATAAGCCTATATCATAGAGCCGTCACTATTTACCATAGAGTCTGCGATCAATAAGCCTATATCATAGAGGTTCACTACTTCAGCATACTATCATGGAGCCTGTACTCATTCAGCGTATATTAGAGAGACTCTTCTGCTTATCATTGAGTCTGTACTACCTATCATACAACCTGTCCTCACGGAGCCTTCACACATTCAGGCTATATCCCAAACGCTTTATTACTTACCACCGAGCTGGTACAGAGAGTCTGTTCTCTATATCACAGAGCCTGTATTCATTTAGCTCATGTAGTAAACATACAACGTCACCTTCAATTGTCAATTACCTGTTGATGTAGATCCGCGTTTCACCAAGTTGTCCTCATTTTTTGCTGCCTTCTTCCTTGAGCTTCCTACAGGGACTACCGGACCTTGACCCAGACCTTGACCCGGATCTGGTTCCTTGAGCAGCTCATCCAGCGTACTCCGGGTCCGTGTCTCGCTTCCTCGTCTCGTGTTTCCAGTTCTCCCACCAGCCCTGTCTGAATAAGCTGTCCGACCACTAACATCATCACGTGACCTTTGGGATGGCCTTGACCCTTTTGTCAAATGTTCATCAAAGCGACTGACCGGTGCACCATATTTGCTAGCAACAGATCTGGAACTTGGGGTGTTGTTCCGAGCACCACTGTTGTGAGATCTTCCGCCATTTCTTGCACCTTGTAAATGATTGATCTCGTCATCAGGGTCATCACCGAACGTTGGAAGACCCTGGTGTCGATGTGACCTTGATTCACCCATCAGCATTTCTTGGGCAGTCAGCGACAGGAGGTTTTTGTTGCGCAAATGAGGTTTTCTTTGTGATGGGGTTGCAGGGGTTTGAACCCGGGGTGTCATGTTGGGGTTGAACTCACACACAGACTGAAAATTCAACATTTGTCATGAACTTCTTTGAGTGGCATTTAGAAGTTGGTGTGAAAAAAACGAGGAGAGTTCTATGCATATACAACTTCTGTATTACTTGCTTGATAATGGTGTTAGTAGCTACACCGAAATGTTGCTATAAAATGTGACTATAAAACCTAAGCAGTAGTGAACACAAAAGGCTGGAATATGCTATAATACAACATGGGACAAAACGTTTGATTTGATGTTATCATTTCAGACATTATCAAACAATGTTCCTGGCAGAATTTATCTGTATTCCAAATCTTGAAAATCTAAGCTTAACTAGACTGAGTGAGTGGGTTTAGTTTTCCTGCAATATCATGACAGGTTTAATCAAAAACCATCTTGGGAAGTAGCAAAATTGTCACAAAATGCACCTGAATTTTTTTTTAAATGAGTCAGTAAATTATTACCTGGTGTTGAATAAGTAATTCATAAGGAAAAGTCTCCGTACAGAACTCGCATGGAAGAAGTACCTCCCCTGCCTCATCCAAAAGTCATCATTGGGGGAGTAAGGTGGACTCTCCCTGAAATAGACAACACAAAAATGTATCAAACAAACCAGCTGACCTAGAGTGATTATGATAAAATAATTCCTGAAAACAGTCTAATCATACAATACATAGCTTCACAAATACGATACATTAAAAAAATATTCCTCCAGACATCTAAACATGTGAATAATGAAAGAAACTGTTCAAGAATCATATTTTTCAGTTTTACTAGTATTTCCCTGTTAGCTATTTAAAGCAGAAACTTCTATATTATCAGGATACGTTTCATATCGTGGCCAAACGTCTCATCAAACCTCAGGTTATAACAACAGGGATAAAAAGGGAAATATTATGCACTTATGAAAAAGAAATTTTGCATCAGGAAACAAATCATATTGAATTCATATTACTGGCATACGTATCATATTGTGGTCCAATCTCGTCACACCTCTAGTTATAACGTCAGACACAAAACAAGAAAAGAATATGCACTTACGAAATAGAAGAGTGAGTGAGTGAGTTTACTTCTACGATGCTTTCAGCAATATTCCAGCAATATCACGTTGGGGAATACCAGAATGGGCTTCACACATTGTAACCATGTGGGGAATCGAACCCAGGTCTTCGGTGTGATGAGCGAACACTTTAACCACTAGGCTACCCCACCGCCCATGAAATAGAAGAACTGCATCAGGATACAAATTGTATTGCATCCATATTATCAGGATATACGTATCATATCAGGGTCAAACCCCCCACCATATCGTGGTCCCACACCTCTAGTTATAACAATAGACAATATCCTTACCATTCCCTCTGAATGGGGATCTCCTGAACCGGCACCCGCCACTGGCTGTCCAGGTTGTTGATCACAGGTATTGCTATGCCCCTTCCCCGTGAACCCCCCTCCACTTCGTTGTTCCGCTCCCCCCTCCAGCTGGTGTCCTCATTCCAGTTGACAGTTGACATCGGGTCACAGCCACTCTGTGAACAAACATTGTCAGTGAACAACTAAATTTAAACTGGGACCAGTATCATCACATTTCCTGACATTGTTTAAAGGCGGAAATCGGCCAGTGAAGAGCGGAAAAGTTAAAAGTTTCTTTCTCATCCTTTTGCAGGTCATGACAACAAAATGTGTTTTCTGTCTACTGGAAACAATGGCAGGATCAAACTTACCTGATGTTGAACCAAGATGTCAACAGGAAACGGTTCACCACAGAATTCACAGGGAATTAAGTCATCATCTGCAACGAAGATGAAAACTTCGTATAACTCGTTACTTAAAATAATGTAATTTTTTGAGTAAAATTGATATTTTATACTTATCCTGACTCATGCTCTTTTTGCTTGTCTCCTTCCTCTTGCGAACATAGTGGAACACTTGTATCTCCCTAATTGAAGTTCCCTTCAATGTAAAATCACTAATTAGTACACCACGAGTTACCTCCCTTCCACAAACGCGGGAACGAGGGTGCCACCTCTACCCATGTGCCTCACTCTCTCCTCATATACTGAGCCCAACATTTGAATTTACAGGGAAATCCAAAGTGTTATTTGGGGAGGATGGGAGGGCTGACCTCATGAGTCAGGATAAGTATAAAATATCAATTTTACTCAAAAATTACATATTTTTCCTTATCCTGACTCATGCTCTTTTGCTTGTAGAATCCAACAGAGCGGAGGTGGGAATATATAATACTTCTGGATTTTAATAATTAGTGATTTGAACTGGGATGATTGTAATAACCCTATGGGAACTTCATAAAGGCATTGAACTGATGAATTCCTGCTGCCAGCTTATCAGCTGCCATATAGAGGTTATTACAATGTAATTTATTATGATAAGTATATATAATATTAATACAATGCTTAAGACTAATAGACTTAAGCTTGTTAATATGCTAGTATAAACTCCTTAGAGTTTGTTAGCTAAAATACTTTAAAGATATAAACATAGCACTAAGCTTAAAATATGATTAATTTTAAGCTAATTATATAATAACAAACCTCTTTAGGGTTTGTTAGTTAAAATATTTATATGATATAGACAGTGCTGAGCTTAAGATATGAATAAGCTTAGCTATATATATAACAGCAAACTTTGTAGAGTTTGTTAGCTAATATATTTTTACAATATGAGTATAGTATTGTGCTTAAGATATAATTATCTTAAGCTACATATATAATAGCCAAACTTAGTAGAGTTTGTTAGCTAATATATTTTTACAATATGAGTATAATACTGTGCTTAAGATATAATTAACTTAAGCTACATATATAATAGCCAAACTTAGTAGAGTTTGTTAGCTAATATATTTTTACAATATGAGTATAGTACTGTGCTTAAGATATAATTAACTTAAGCTACATATATAATAGCCAAACTTAGTAAAGTTTGTTAGCTAATATATTTTTACAATATGAGTATAGTACTGTGCTTAAGATATAATTAACTTAAGCTACATATACAATAGCCAAAACTCTGTAGAGCTTATTAGCTAATAGATTTATAATGTAACCATAGTACTAAGCTTAAGATATGATTAGACTTAAGCTAAATGTATATAGCAAAAACTCCTTAGAGTTTATTAACTAATATACTTTTTATGTTATAAACATAGTACTGAGCTTAAGATATGATTAAACTTAAGCTATATATATATAATAGTAAAACTCCGTGAGAGTTTGATAGCTAATACATTTTATTATGTTGATTTAGACCTAGTATTGAGCTTAAGATATGAAGTAAACCTTAAGCTAAATATATAATAGCAAAAACCTTTTAGAGTTTTAATAGCTAATATACTTATATGGTATCAACATAGTATTGAGCTTAAGATATGAAGAAATCTTGCTTACATATGTATAGCAAAACTCCGTGAGAGTTTGTTAGCTAATACATGATATAATGTAACCATAAAGCTTAAAATATGATGAAAACTTAAGCCCAATATATAATAGCAAAAAACTCTTTAGAGTTTTGATAGCTAATATACCTATATGCTATAAACATAGTACCGCTTTTAAGATATGAATAAGCTTAGTTACATATATAATAGCAAAAACTCCATAGAGTTTGTTAGCTAATACATGTTATAATGTAACCATATTGCTTAAAGATATGATGAAACTTAAGCCAAATAGCAAAAGCTCTTTAGAGTTTGTTAGCTAATATAGTTATATGATATAAACATAGTACTGAGCTTAAGATATGAATGAGCTTAAGCTACCTATATAATAGCAAAACTCATTAGAGTTTGTTAGCTAATGTATTTTACAATATGAGTATAGTACTATGCTTAAAATATACTTGACTTAAGCTACGTATATAATAGCCAAAAAAACTCTGTAGAGTTTGTTAGCTAATGCATTTATCATGTAACCACTGTGATGATAAAAACGAGCTTAATCAAATTATATATAGCATGAAGCTATTTAGTACTGTTATAAGATAAGTAAAAATCTGTAAGATTGACTTATCTTCTCCGAGAACTGTCAACTGTTGTGCAAGGACCATGGGATCGAATTGGTGGATACCTGAGACGCCCCTCGGTGGTGATATCTCTCAGATAATGGTTGGCAACCACCATATCGGATCTACAGTAATAAACCCTCCATTATTTCAAATAACATTTGTGTAGATGAAATTGAAGAAGCGCTCTAATATCAAGAGTATTAAAGCTCATGGAGGGTCGGATTAGGTCCATCTGTCTTGTATGCACGTAGTATGACAGTTCTGATCCAAACGGAGATATAGTACGTTGAGACTACACTCAGCTGCAAAAGTTGATGATAGAGGAAAAATCTGTTGTATTTTTCCTTCCTGTTTGGTTTGGTGGAGATAAATTTACAGTGCTCTTGCTGGCCAGCGTGATAGCATCATCGGTATCATGGAGTCCAAGTATGTCATCCAGGCATGTTCATAAACCTCACTTGTGAGGTGTTGTAGCACTATATTCATATCCCCAAGTTGGTACATTGAAACTTCCGCTTATTCTCAAACAGAAACTTAGTAGGTTTTACTAACCATCTAGTTGTGTTAGTAGCTTGATGATGAAATACAGGTGTAGTCTGAAACGCTGTGGATATCGATCCACTTGTATCACGCCGTCCTAGGTAAATCGCTATGATGTCCTTGACGATGTATGTGCACAACCGGGAGTTTGTGTCCTCGATGAACTTTATGTAAATCGCCTGACTGCTGTGCCCTTTGTCTAAACTTGACAGGGAGGTCTCTAACCTGAAGAAAGCAGCCTAATCATGAAGGTTCAGGTTAACTGGGCTGTAAGGAGGCTTGCTCGTTCATTGATATAAAGTTGTCACTTGCAACCTATGTCTTGAACTGTGAACTATGCTTCGACCTCTGTGTAGGCGTTGTTCATCGGGTCCAATCAGAATAAGGCATTTTGATTCTGTAGAGTACCCGCTGTGATGTCACCGGTGTAGCAGGAAAAGGAACCTTGTATAATATAGTGCCGTCGTTGATATTAGAACAATCGTCGGTCTTCATCGTAACTTCCGGTACCCGAAAGTGACCACGTGTTTCGAGGATTAATGGTAAACGCCGAAGCTTCGGCAGAAAAATACCTAAACTCTGTAATATTAATGCTGGGTAGGTTATTTTCCTGGCTGTCGTGAAAGTACTTCAGTTTTTGAATATAATTCCGCCTTCTTTATATATATAGGTACAATAACTTGTAAGTTGTCAGCTTGTAGACTGTATACATGAATGTATCGTCATAATTGTAGAATTAAAGCTGAATTTGTTGTACATATTTCTTCTCAGAAATGTTGACGATTATGAGTTATACTCGCTGTAACAAGGCTGCTGTTCAATTTCGATATTGAATTGTCTGCAGATATGCGTAATGGTCACGCATGTAGATAATCGTCTCGTCGTCCGGGATTGCATATACTAGCAATTTATAACGGAATAGTTGATTTCTGTGAAGATCTATGAAACGTCGTTGACAAATTAATACAGCGGCGTTCTGTGTTGTAAATAGCCTGTGCAATTGTCTTCACAGAGGGCTTATAGATCGGCATCTGGCATACAGTTGATAGACAACTTATCGCGATGTCTTGAACGGACTGAGGAGTAGCTATATACGGCGAGTGGCTAGTATATGGAGACCTTGGAGGAGACTTCCTCGGTGAACGCCGGAGACTTCACGAAGCTCTCGAAGCATCCCTTCTAGATCTACTGGTGAAGTAGACTTGGAGCCACTTAGCCTTTCGCGACGACTTCGAAAGGTATCGAGTCAAAGTCCGATTAGAATATATATATATATATATATATATATATATATATAAAGCTTTGCTTCGCGAATGGCCTCTGTGTTGAACAGGATGTGGGTCGTGGCGCTACTCCTCAGACGGCGTCCCTTTGTAGCTGGTGAGGCTCTAGCTCCTTGAGGCGGCCTGGGACTTGCTGGTTCTGCATAAGTAGGGCCGAGTGGATCATCTTATCATTTTCAGAAGTCGTGTTCTACGAAATCTGGTGATAAGTGTCTCAATGATCGTTCTAGATCTATTTAGGCCAACGAACATACGCCTCGCCGTCATGGATTCAACTGAACCAATTTACGATTGTAGTTCTTATTGTTGATATCGATGATCAACTTGTAGTTTTCATCGATGTCTTAAGCCTTGAAGAAGGGTCCATGTTGTGCGCGTGGAAAACTTCTAGGCGTGAAAGTTCGGCAATTATGGTGTCTGAACTTTGTGGCTTTATGGGATGCTATGTCTAGATTCTGTGCTACCGCAGCAATCGGATTCGATCGGAGGTAGGGTGATAGCATCTGCATCGTCTTCCTTCATCAGGTATGTCTGCGTCGTGCACTGCCACTCTAGGAAGGTGATGTAGACTTGTGTGCAGACTTGTGTGGTAACCTGTGAGGCGATCGATGTGGTGATGTACGAGGAGATCGGAGACTATTGACAGCTTCGCCAAGCTCTTGAGTAGTCCCTTGACTCTGTTAAATGACGATCTATATTCGGTGTCCTTCCCGAGTGCCTTCCGAGAATGCCTTCGAATGCCTTCGCGTAACGCCAGCGAACATGCCAGCGAAGCTTCCTCTGCGTTCGGTCCTGGGAACGGCGATTTGAGCTTCAGCGAAGGCTTCGTGAGGTCTGGTGGCTGAGTCTGCATCTAAGGATGAAGCCGAGGAATGTGATGATCTATCCCGCCAGCGAAGGCCTTCGCTGGCTGTACATCTGGGTCCTTCGTCAAGGTGGTCTGCGACTTCCTTCGCGAAGGCTGCATCGCCTTGGCTGCTTTCGTTGACTGGAGGTGCCTCTAGAGTGTTGTCTAAGTTGGAGCCTTTGCGGCTTCAAGTACTCTGGGCTGGCTGCTTCTCCAGTCTGTAGTGACCCTCCATCACCACCATGATTTGCCATAGTAGCTCGTCTGGGATGGTCTGCGGCGAAGTAGTCGGTGCCATCTCTGCGCTGTTAGTGGTGGGGCCCTCAGGTAAGTCGCCTGACATCAGTGTAGAGACATCAGGCTGCATGACGATCTCTGCTGATGTCACTGTAGCTAATCACCGGTCGCTACTTGTCTCATCGTCGGGGATGATGATCGGCTGATCATCGTAGAGGCCAAGTTCAGCGGCTGGAACAATCTCGGTTGAGAAAGTCCTAGTAGACTTCGCTGAATTCCCCTCAGAGGTCGGCAGCTGCCCTGGGGGTCGCGGTCTGCGCTTGAGTGTTGGTAGCGACGGACCCTCAGGAAGATCATCGAATGTTGATCTGCGCTGACATCACTGTTGCCGACATCAGTCATTCTTTTGATGTACATCAGGAATGATGATCGGCTGATCATCATACAGGCCCAAATCTGCGATGAGAACAATCTCGGCTGAGAAAGTTCTAGTAGACTTCGTTGAATACCCCTCAGTGCGACGAAGGGATGTCTGGGGAAGCAGGACGCTTCTTGGAGGCCGCGGACTACGTCCCACGCCTCTCCACCATTCTAGCGGAAAACCAGACGGGAGGGGGGTCGACCAACAGCAGTAGACTGGCGAGGGGTTCAGGTGTATCAGTCATGCTAGACTCTGCATCGCGGACCTATCTGCTGCGCGTCTCAAACGCAAAGTAATTATTTATTAAAGGTAGAATTGATAAATTAGTATCGCAACTGCAACGCGAATCACATGAAACATGGCGCTTCAGTACAGCTAGGGCATATTAAATGCGGATCAGCAGCAGAATAAAAACGTAATGTGCAACAGTACAGAATTTTTATCAACGTAATCCACTGCAACAGCACGGGCCCCGTGCATAAACAGTAGAAACACGACTAAATATCAATATATAATTGTTGAAAGATACTAGCTAAACCTCTATAGATCTCTATACGAGGTAACTAACTAAATATAATCAAAGGATATAGTGTGTCGGAGACACAGGCTCTCGATCGCCCAGCTCACTGGTAGAAGAAGGAAAAGAGGAGGCACATGGGTAGAGGGTGGCTCTCGCTCCCGCGCTTGTGGAAGGGAGGTAACTCGTGGTGTACTAATTAGTGATTTTACATTGAAGGGAACTTCAATTAGGGAGATACAAGTGTTCCACTATGTTCGCAAGAGGAAGGAGACAAGCAAAAAGAGCATGAGTCAGGATAAGGAAAAATATTAGAATTCACTGTAGTTACAATATTGGGAGATTATGGGTGACCTACCATCAGGGAAAGTGTTGACAATAGTGGGTGACCTACTTCAGGGAAAGTTTTGACAATAGTGGGTGACCTACATCAGGGAAAGTGTTGACAATAATGGGTGACCTACCATCAGGGAATGTGTTCAAATAAGTGGGTGACCTACCATCAGGGAAAGTGTTGACAATAGTGGGTGACCTACCATCAGGGAAAGTGTTGACAATAGTGGGTGACCTACCATGAGGGAAAGTGTTGACAATAGTGGGTGACCTACGTCAGGGAATGTGTTGACAATAGTGAGTGACCTACATAAGGGAAAGTGTTGACAATAGTAGGTGACCTACCATTAGGGAATGTGTTGACAATAGTGGGTGACCTACCATCAGGGAAAGTGTTGACAATAGTGGGTGGCCTACGTCAGGGAATGTGTTGACAATAGTGAGTGACCTACATAAGGGAAAGTGTTGACAATAGTGGGTGACCTACCATCAGGGAAAGTGTTGACAATAGTGAATGACCTACATCAGGGAAAGTGTTGACAATCGTGGGTGACCTACCATCAGGGAAAGTGTTGACATTAGCCGGAGAAGTGGCTGGCGAGACTGGTGTTTGGACTGGAGGGGAGTTCTTCTCGATCTGACGGATGAGTTGTCCAATGTCCTCATCCTCCTCGTGTTGGAGCCGCATGGCCAGCATCAGGTCCTCATCAATGTCCTCATTCACCACCGGGATCCGGCTCCGCCACTGTAGCACCACATGTGTAATTTAACTATCTACCATGGTTCCAGAGTGAGTGTGTTGGGGTTAAAGCCAAGTATAGAAGTATTCCAGAATCTCAGCTTGCAGTGGTAGGAAATTCCGAAGTGATTCAGGTCTAAAACTTTACCACTTTGGTGAAACCCACAAGCACTGGCATGGTGCTGACAAACTTGAAACATCATCAAGGCAAATGGGGATTTGAACTTACAATGATAGGTTTCTAGCATGTGCAAGTAACGTAACTCTCCACTGCTAACTGTGGCACCCAAATTCAATAGCGGCATGACCATTGACCCCAAGGTAAGACAAACTTTACCATATCTTATCACTTAAAGGCAAAGTAGAGTGTAGAGTCTTTGAATGTCATATAGAAGTGATACACATAAAGGCAAGAACTTCTTTATTTTGATGGACACGACATTTCACAGTATATTCTTACTCCTTCATCAGGTGAATGAAAGACTAGGAAACACCTTACCAATTTAGTGCTAATTAACTACTGGCTTCCCTTGTTATCTTATCCCTGTAGTTGTTTCAAGTGTACATATATAGCAGTCTGTTTCCTAGTCTTTCGTAGCCTAGTGGTTAAAGCGTTGGCTCGTCATGCCGAAGACCCGGGTTCGAATCCCCACATGGGTACTATGTGTGAAGCCCAATTCTGGTGTCCCCCGCCGTGATGTTGCTGGAATATTGCTAAAAGCGGCGTAAAACCAAAAACTCAGTCAGTCAGTCCTAGTCTTTCATTGGAGGAGTAAGAATATACTCCCAAACATCATGTCCATCAAAATAAAGAAGCTGACATCCATAAATTCCTGCCTATAAATATCATTATGATATCTATACAAAAATCATCTTGTATAAATTGACTTCCAATATCTAGTATTTGAGTGAGTGAGTGAGTGAGTTTAGTTTTACGCCGCACTCAGCAATATTCCAGCTATATGGCGGCGGTCTGTAAATAATTGAGTCTGGACGAGACAATCCAGTGATCAACAGCATGAGCATCGATCTGCGCAATTGGGAACCGATGACATGTGTCAACCAAGTCAGCGAGCCTGACCACCCAATCCCTTTAGTCGCCTCTTACGACAAGCATAGTCGCCTTTTACGACAAGCATGGGTTACTGAAGACCAATTCTAACCCGGGACCTTCGCGGGTTCTAGTATTTGAAGTGTTGATATGTTACCAGTATATACTAGTCCTCATTATACATAGTTCATCCACTATTAGCATGACAAATGCCGGGGACTTTTTAAATTCATTCATACTTTGCATTCGTTTATCTAAGAATAATCAAATAGATTAAAAGAACATGCAGGCATAAAAAATGTATGTTTCTAAGATTCTACCATTACTATTTCAAAATTCATTCAAACTTTGCATATATTTACCTAAGAATATATTTGCATGTGGCAAATAGATTAAAAGAACATGCAGGCATAAAAGATTTATGTTTCTAAGATTTTTCCATTATTTCTATTTTCTAAAACAATTCTAGTTGTGGAAAACACTAATTAAAATTCCATTACTTGTCAAGGGTTCCAAAATCAATGATTCCTGTTAATAGATGAAGTAATATTGACTGCCCTGTATGAATAAAAGCTATTCAACCCCTGACAGTACCTCTTTGCCTCTGTCTGTTCAGCTCAGACTTTCTGTTGGTTGTGCTCTTCCTTGTGCGTGTGGTGTTATTATTGGTGTACGACCTGCTCTGTGTTCCTGGAGCATTCCTCGGCCGTCCAAACCCAGCCATGTCCAGCTGGGAGTTGAGACTTCCCTGCATCCTCGTGTTCTCCATCATCCTGGATAGTTCGTCCATCGCGAACGCATTATCAAACCCTGCATCAGGAAACTCATAATCGTATTGTGGGAAGTCCACGAACCTTTCACGATCTCTATCACCATCGTGGCCATTTGTGGCGGGTTTGGGGGTTGGGTAGTCACAATTGCTGGCTTCATGCTGAAGCAGGTCCTTCTTCATTATGAACTGGGCACACTTTGGGCAGGACTCTGTCCTGGTTCCGCAGTAGTCTTGATGGGAGTTAAGGTCACACCGAGGCAGCTCTAGTTCACAGTAAACACACCGCAGGGGCCTCTTGCTGCAGGTGCCCTCCTGAATGAATGAAACATTGGTAACTAGGGCTTTGACAGGTGCTTGACAATGAAACATTGGTTACTATGGCTTTGACAGGTACGTGACAATGTGCTTGGGAATGAGACATTGGTGTCTATGGCTTTGACAGGTGCTTGGGAATGAGACATTGGTAACTAAGGCTTTGACAAGTATTGAGAATGAGACATTGGTAACTAAGGCTTTGACAGGTATTGAAAATGAAACATTGGTAACTAGGGCTTTGACAGGTATTTGAGAATGAAAACATTGGTAACTAGGGCTTTGACAGGTACTTGACAATGAAACATTGGTTACTTGGGCTTTGACAGGTACTTGAGAATGAAAACATTGGTAACTAGGGCTTTGACAGCTATTGAGAATGAAACATTGGTAACTAGGGCTTTGAAAGGTACTTGACAATGAAAACATTGGTTACTTGGGCTTTGACAGGTATTGAGAATGAAACATTGGTAACTAGGGCTTTGACAGGTACTTGACAATGAAACATTGGTTACTTGGGCTTTGACAGGTACTTGAGAATGAAAACATTGGTAACTAGGGCTTTGACAGGTACTTCGGAATGAAACATTGGTAATTTGGGCTTTGACAGGTATTGAGCATGAGACATTGGTAACTAAGGCTTTTCTTTGACAGGTACTTGACAATGAAACAATGGTAACTAATGCTTTGCTTTGACAGGTACTGGGGAATAAAACAATGGTAACTTGGGCTTTTGGACTGTGTTAGATCACTAAGTCTATGTAAGGGTGGATTCGAACCCTGCATAGGATCTAATCTGAAACTACTAGAATTTGCAATTTATTACAAATTGTAATCACAAATGTAGCAAAGGATGCAAATCTTCTTCGGCATCCTTTGTGCCCATCCAATCCACACATCACAATAAACGCCTGGGGAAAACAAGTGTTTAAAGCATTCGCTGTAGATCCAGGTCAATTTACCTCATGGGTACAATGTGTGGAGCCTATTTCTGGTGTCCCCTGGTGACATGATCATGGTGATATTGCTGGAATATTCTTTAAAGTGTAAAACCATTTTCACTTATTCAGCCTACCCAATCCCTCACTCTATGTCACTGACATGACCCTCAAATGATTGACATGTCTCACTCACTCACTCTACATCCCTGACACGCCCCCTCACCATGTGCTCCTGTAGCTGGGTCTTCTCCTGCTGCTCACCACACTGAGTACAGGCGACTCACTCACTCACTCTACATCCCTGACACACCCCCTCACCATGTGCTCCTGTAGCTGGGTCTTCTGCTGCTGCTCACCACACTGAGTACAGGCGACTCACTCACTCACTCTACATCCCTGACACGCCCCCTCACCATGTGTTCCTGTAGCTGGGTCTTCTGCTGCTGCTCACCACACTGAGTACAGGCGACTCACTCACTCTACATCCCTGACACACACCCTCACCATGTGCTCCTGTAGCTGGGTCTTCTCCTGCTGCTCACCACACTGAGTACAGGTGACTCACTCACTCACTCACTCTACATCCCTGACACACACCCTCACCATGTGCTCCTGTAGCTGGGTCTTCTCCTGCTGCTCACCACACACTGAGTACAGGCTTACTCACTCACTCACTCTACATCCCTGACACACACCCTCACCATGTGCTCCTGTAGCTGGGTCTTCTCCTGCTGCTCACCACACTGAGTACAGGCGACTCACTCACTCACTCTACATCCCTGACACACACCCTCACCATGTGCTCCTGTAGCTGGGTCTTCTCCTGCTGCTCACCACACTGAGTACAGGCGACTCACTCACTCACTCTACATCCCTGACGCCCCCTCACCATGTGCTCCTGTAGCTGGGTCTTCTCCTGCTGCTCACCACACTGAGTACAGGCGACTCACTCACTCACTCTACATCCCTGACACGCCCCTCACCATGTGCTCCTGTAGCTGGGTCTTCTCCTGCTGCTCACCACACTGAGTACAGGTGACTCACTCACTCACTCTACATCCCTGACACACCCCCTCACCATGTGCTCCTGTAGCTGGGTCTTCTCCTGCTGCTCACCACACTGAGTACAGGCGACTCACTCACTCACTCTACATCCCTGACACGCCCCCTCACCATGTGCTCCCTGTAGCTGGGTCTTCTCCTGCTGCTCACCACACTGAGTACAGGCTGACTCACTCACTCACTCTACATCCCTGACACCCCCTCACCATGTGCTCCTGTAGCTGGGTCTTCTCCTGCTGCTCACCACACTGAGTACAGGCTGACTCACTCACTCTACTCTACATCCCTGACACACCCCCTCACCATGTGCTCCTGTAGCTGGGTCTTCTCCTGCTGCTCACCACACTGAGTACAGGCGACTCACTCACTCACTCTACATCCCTGACACGCCCCCTCACCATGTGCTCCTGTAGCTGGCTCTTCTCCTGCTGCTCACCACACTGAGTACAGGCGACTCACTCACTCACTCTACATCCCTGACACGCCCCCTCACCATGTGCTCCTGTAGCTGGGTCTTCTCCTGCTTCATCACACTGAGTACAGGCGCCTGTACTCACTCACTCACTCACTCACTCTACATCCCTGACACGCCCCCTCACCATGTGCTCCTGTAGCTGGGTCTTCTCCTGCTGCTCACCACACTGAGTACAGGCAACTGTAGCATGGTGCTCACTGAAATGCTCCTCCATCTCAGACCGCGGCACCGGTTCATCGCAGTGCTCGCACAGGACGATGTGGCGCCGACAGTGGACCTCATGCATTGTGAAGTTGGCTGCTGATATGTCCTTCTTGCTGTTAAACAATCACAGACAGCAACCATAAAATATTTTACCAATGATTACACCGAGTTAAAATTCAGTCATATCATCAATATTTCAGCCATAGTTCATTATAGTCAAATGACTTTTCACAGAGTAAAAAAATCACTTTTTTGTAAGTTGTGACTCTAATAGCGTGGCATGTTTAAAACGTTTACATTTCTCACAAAACTACATTTCTTACTCTTTCTCGAAAGCCATATATATATATTTCAGGAAACAGCGAACTGAACAGAAAGATTGTTATAAAATTTCTTCATATTTATATACAGTGAAGCCTCGTTAATCCGGACGGTTGCGTTTCTCAGCAAATTCGTCCGGATTGTGAAAAGTCCATATTACTGAATCAAGACCCAAGTTCAAGCAAGAGTTGCTTCCCTTACTATTACAAAATCGACACGAATCTGGATAAAAAAAATAAGCATTTAATGTAAAGCTTATAAAACGATGAATAGCAAGTACAACAATAATCTATAGTCATAGCAAAAAGTCTTTCATTGTTGTTTGTGTTCGTTTAACCTTCCTCATTGAATTCATCACATCAATAATTTTACCGAGTGGCATCTGCATTTTGATCCGACGTGTCTGATCACGCCTTCCTCAGCACAGGTGAGGTAATGTCTAACAAGCGATCTATTGTAGTATGCCTTGAATGTCTGAATTATTCCTGCATCCATCGGTTGAATATGAGATGTGGTATTCGGTCACATTTCGCAAAGTTAGCGAAGCACATTTGTGACTTGCAGCATTGTCGAAAAGCAAAAGTACATTAACCATGACACCGAGTTTTTATTGTTTATGGCCAGTTAAGTAAACATCGCAAATTATGGTTCGTGAACACGACTTACAGCATCCGGACTGTGAAGCAATTTACTGTTTATTTTACTGATTGGTTACAGCTACTTACCGTCCGGTTCCGGAAAATTTCCGGATTATCGAGGCAAATTAAATAGGCATAGATTGGTAACAAGCTAAAATCGTCCGGGAGGCGAGACATCCGCATTATCGGAGTCCGGACTAATGGGGCTTCACTGTAGATACATTTTATGTACAGGCAATTCACAGTTAGAATATTCAGCAACAGACTTCTAATGGTTGTCGCTCTAGACTGGAAAGAAGAACATTGTTTAGCATACTGCATTTGGATATGCCTATTTTTCTTAAGAATTTGGCCTTCATCACACAGTATATTTGGTAGGTTTTTGAACAACCATGATCATCCATTATTGAAATAGATTAAAACTAAATTAGAGCTTCATCTGAATTAATAAGAATATGTAACCCTTAAACAAATATGGTAAATGATTCAGTCTTTTATACACTGTTCCTCCATCGACGGGGAACTCACTGGGCTGATGATGTAGATTGATCATCGTCATTTGTCTGAATGGTCGCTGGAACAATGCTGACTCATGACTTTAAAACACCATGAGCTGCCATATACACCCTTTAGCAGGTGATGGGGGAGGAAGAACATTATGTAGGCAAACCCGAGAAGTATTGTCAACAACAGGGACTTATCTAGGCCTGATCAGAGACTGATAAACTGCCCCAAGTTCACAGCAAAAGTCAATACATATACCTGAATCAGAATTACAAATTTCCTGTTCATATTTGAGCAGCATGTACCCCCTCCACTCTGCATCTGCACCTGCCTCCCATGTGACCAGCCAGTGACTTCACCCTCTCCATTTTCAAGTTCCAAATGTTAAAATTAGAATTTGTGGCAAGTAGGTTTGTTGAGGGGGCACTATAGCATATAAGTATAAAATAACAATGGTAAGATTTATTCAGAAACATCCTGCCTCTTAGTTTAAACCTCTGGAAAGATTCATGGATGAAAATACTGCATGGCAAAGCCAATACATTCCATACAGAATTTGCATTCTGTGGTTTTACTTTATATAGAAATCATATACTTACCAGTTGGAGCAATACTTGGTTTCCGCGGCAACATCAGCCATCTTGGTTTCTGTATCTCAACTGCTTTGTTTATATAGTATCGTCCCCTTGGTTACCTCGTGTGGATTTCAGTTCAATATTATGTCTTCAGGTAACCTGTCATAGAAACACATGAAACATTTACCACTGCTGAATGGTTGACAAAAACGAAAATAACAGATTAGGTCAGACCAATTTTATTTCTTGTTTTACGGATCTGCCGGTCGTATTTTTTCAATAAGAAAAAAAAAAAATTAATTTCCCCAGCTCAAAAAATAAAATCCTCATGTTTTTATTGGCCAAAAATGTAAACTTACAAAAACAATTTGTTTTGCCCCATATACACTTCATAAATTGCCAAAAATAAAATACTTTTAGTATTTAAAAGGAATATTACTTTGACTGGTGATTTTTATTTTTTATTTTTTTCCCTCCTGCCTTTAGGTTTTCTGAGGACAAAAATCCGTAAAACAAGAAATATAATTGGTCTGGCCTTATGAAATCATTCCTTTTTCATAAGTCATATTGATGGTCCGGTGCTGGACCAATCAGCTGATAATAAACAGGGGACTATCTCTGAATGTTGTGATGATGGATTAAATATTGATCTAGTATTGATTTAGATTACTTGGCTAAAGGTCACTTAGGGTTCAACTGATATGCCGTACTCAGCAATATTCCAGCTATATGGCAGCGGTCTGTAAATAATAAAGAGTCTGGACCAGACAATCCAGTGATCAACAGCATGAGCATTGATCTACACAATTAGGATACAATGACATGTGTCAACAAAGACAGCGAGCCTGACCACCCAATCCCATTAGTCGTCTCTTACGACAAGCATGGGTTGCTGAAGACCAAGTCTAACCTGATCTTCACAGGTCGTAACCTTGAAGGTCGAAATACAGAGTTTCGTTATATCTGTGTTAAAGATCTCTTGTAATGACACTGAGAGACAAACAGTCCTAAAACTTGGAATACAATGCCACATAATGTGGCTTTGGGACAACTATTACCAACTATCAATCTCATGAAGATTCCTGGTCAGAACTGGTTTCCAGTAACCCATGCTTGTTGAAACAGGCAATCAAGTGGTCAGTATCACTGACTGGGGCTGATGCATCTCATAATGTCCCATGGCCAGATCGATACTCATGGTGTCCATCACTGGATTGTCTGATTCAGAACTGAATCTTTGCAGACCACAGTTTTATAGGAAGAATAATGCTGAGTTTGGGAAAAACAAAACGAAATACCATTTGAATACTGTTCACAGTAATATGTTCAGTTTGGAGAACATGTATTTAATGTTTTGGAAGACTGTATTCTGATTATCTGTGTCCGGTTTATTTACTGTAGAGAGCTATATATTCTGTTGATCATTCATTTGACATTTAAGACTTACTTAAGTTAGTATGCCATCGTATTTTGGAGGTGGGACATGGGCCAAAGTAGCACATCTGTCAATCAGTGACATATATTTTTTTACAAGCTCTATATAGCCTCTCTTATTTTGACTGAATACTAAGAATCAGAATCTGCCCCATTTACAGAAATGTGTCAGCACATGTTCAGCATTTAAAGCAGTTCTCAGAATCTGCACCTTTTATCTAAATAATCACATGTTCAGCATTTAAAACAGATCTCAGAATCTGCACCTTTTATCTAAATAATCACATGTTCAGCATTTAAAACAGATCTCAGAATCTGCACCTTTTATCTAAATGATCACATGTTCAGCATTTAAAACAGTTCTCAGAATCTGCACCTTTTATCTAAATAATCACATGTTCAGCATTTAAAACAGATCTCAGAATCTGCACCTTTATCTAAATGATCACATGTTCTGACATGACATGATGCAACCACTTTGACATGAGGTGAGGTGTGAGGTGAAATGAGGTTTAACGTCGCACTTATGATTATTTCGCTCATAAAGTCACATGACGACGTGCATGCGTGTGTATGTGTATGTGTGGCTGCTTGTACTAGCCCAGACTTAAGCTGGTTTTATAGTGCTAGCTTGCTGAGATACCATGCCACAGTTAGGCATGAATACCCCACATTATACTGACAATATAGAACAATTTTTTTATGGAATACAACTTCTTTATTTCTGGAGTGTGAGGTTTCGATACAGATTCTTGCACCGTTGTCAGCTTGACAACGGTACAAGAATCTGTATCGAACAGCTTGACAACGGTGTAAGAATCTGTATCGAAATGTCGCACTCACGAAATAAAGAAGTTGTTTTCCATAAAAAAAATTGTTCTATATTGTACATCTCAAATTCTAATTATTTTTTTTTAATTTATTTTTGATTCTCCATACATCCAGGTCATACAGTTCATTACATAATGGGTTGGTATAAACACGATTTGCAAATATATACAAAGTCGATGTACAGGCAAATGTGCATTCAGGTGGAAATGAATAGGTACCTTAAAATATAATAGCAGTACATCAGGGTTCCAGATAGCTTTTGGGGGTGTGAGTGTACTTACACATCATATTGCAAGTGAAGGTGTACTGAGAATTTTGAAGGAGTACCGACATGTTTTTGTGTGAGCGAGTTGATGTGGTTTGTCTGGACGATTCATCGATCACTATTTCCAACCATGTATTTGTATTTGAAGACGCGTGAGAAATAACTGAGCGACCGTGTGATGTGCGAAATGTCAGGTCCGACTGGATATAAATAGGAACAGTGTAGTTTTTAGCCAATCGAAAAATAGTGACGCATATCGTTGCATGGCAATGCAAGGGATTCCTACTGTTGGGGTTTCCTTATGTGTCAAATCGTGTTTTGCAAAAGAAACTGAACAAGTATTTATCCGAAATAGATTTCCATTTGCACGATACGCACGGAAATTAAATGTTAGACGTACGAAGGTATTTATGTGCGTACACGATACGCTTGAAATCTTATATTATGTCGTACTTAATTGATTTTGTGTCGTACATTACGCATGTACGCCCCTTATCTGTAGCCCTGGTACATTATATATAGCGCTAGGTTAACAGAACAGATTGTGACAGTGACCAAAATTTTGTGAAGCTGTCGTATTTGCAATTTGAATAGGCGTTAAAACGTTCAGCATAATATGTTGTCTTTATGTCTTCTATAATGTAGTTCAAATTTGGTGTTTTATCTCTTTGTTTCATTTTGTATATATTATATTTCACTACTGTTATTATCAAATTCAGAACATGGTTTCTCTTTTCACAATATCCTAGAATAATATTTTTCTTTGAAAAGATAATATTTGACCCTGTATTTTCGAATATCCATTCTTCTATTTTCTTCCAAATAGTTTTTACAGTCACAAAATAGATGCAGAATTGATTCTTTCTCGGATTTGCATAATGTGCATGTGTTGGAGTCTTTATATTTCATTTTTGTTGGCAAATCATTATACTGACTCTGAGCCGACCAGTCCTTGTTGTACCCATTAATGCCGAGCACCAGACAGGGACCAACAAGTACCATATTTTAATGTCTTTTGGTATGATGCGGCCGGGGATCGAACCCGCAGCCTTCCGCTCTCAGGACAGACGCACTAACCACTACACCATGGAAGCGGTCAAAATTTTGTAGTTCTTCTGTAGGTATATAGGGAGTACTGAACATTACTCATCACACTTTTTCAGATCAGTTAGCACTGTAGGGGCTCGAATGAGCTAAGCCGGATTAGCCTGATTACAGACTTGAGCTAATTAGTCCCGTAATTAACGGACGCGCTACCTCAGGACCATGGTATAGCGAGACGGTGCAATAATTGCTCCACAGCAAGCGGGCTTTGCCCACCCGAGCTGCAATCAGTAAAGTGCATTAATTCTAGCTGGTATATGTGTTAGACTAGGCCCCCAAGGTAATGTATACTCCTCATAAGCAGTGGCTTAATGGAAACGATGACTTGGACACACCGGGTTCATCATAAGTCACTAAACCTGACAGTGGAAATCTCAACAGATTTCTGGCCAAGATTATTTACAAGTGATAAGGATTATGCTGACAGTAGTTTCCAACAAAACAAAACAGACGGGGGGAGCAGACTTGACTGATTATGTGTAATAAACTTGGATCACTGGATTGCCTACTCAAGACTTGATTGTTTCCCGTCCATCATCACAGGTAGGATATTGCTAAATGCACCTTTACACATACAAACAAAACAGTATGTTGTCAGTGTATGAAATAAGGCCCGTCCGACCACCCGAGACGGTTTAGATTTCAGACGGACGGTCTAGATTTACAGCTAGCCTGCCTGATGGTCTGGTAAAAAATTGAGATGTTATATACATCTGAGTCATATCTTGGTGTCTGGTCTGGTTAAATCCATTTTGGACTGGTAACATTTTGAAGTTACCAGCCCTGATGTCTGGCTGGGGTTTGGGCTTATTTCATACACTGATGTTGTCATAGAAGAGGGATGGGGTGGGGTGGGGTGGGGTGGGGGTGGAGGGTTGTTTGTAGACTTGACTGATTATGTGTCATAAAATTGGACAGCATGGGTCTTTGATCATGCTATCAATCACTGGATTTCCTACTCAAGACTTGATTGTTTCCAGTCCATCGTCACAGGTAGGATATTGCTAAATGCATCTTTACACAAACAAACAAAAAATTATGTTGTCATAGAAGTCTTTTCTCGGGAATGATGGAATTTATAATGCACATTACTTTGGAAAGTAGGGACAGTGCATCCTACTTTTGATATGATCGAGTGAACAAACGCTTCAAAACAGAGTGTTGAACAGTGAACGTTGAGTAGAATGATAGCTGCTGCAACGTTAACCTTTCAATAGCGTGATCCACATTTGGCATGATCCACATAATCATAACTTTTAAAATCAACGTTTCCTCTTACCAGCATATGTTGAGTCAGACGATAATCCCCTCAAGATGGAAATTCTAAACTTTCAGTTTCATTTCCTGGCCTCGGATCGGATTGATATACATTTCCTCTTAACGCAGTGTCATTCTTGTGAAATTGTGATGTACAAGATTAGGAAAACAAGGTGATTAAAGGCTAACAGAATCGAATTGTTCAAAATACGTCAATACTTACATGATGACAAAGTTATTTTGACCATCAACAAAACAAACTTGACACCAAACATTTGTTGGCATTCCTAACCGAGTAGCGATATAGTACAGAGAGTATGATTGGTTGTACCTAACAAGAAAACTCTCTTGCCATTGGTTATTATCGTCTCCGAAAAAGGGAGGTCACTCTCAGTTACTACATATTGTAACCTTGCTGCACGTGTGTTGGTCAATCTCACAGTATATTGTACACAGAAAGCAACAAAAATGGCAAATCTCAACGATGCACAGATGAAACTTGTTGCTGATCTTGAAATTGAAATGATGGCTGACATGTATAACAGGTAATCTTTTTATCTTCCGGTCAAAATTTCATAATATCATTAAGTTTAGCTACCACTGTCAGCATGATTAAAATGACGATTTTCTGTTTGAGCCTGAGGTTGTCAGAGGGCGATCTTGACAGAAACGTCAATTAAGTTCAGAACCTAAACGTGTGTGACATATAATTGGCACACCAGCACTATTCTCACATATCCTTTTATGATTGATCGACAGATATTAGACAAACTTAATATATCATCATACGAATGATGTAATAGTATAAGGTCTGAAGGGGTCGTTGTCGGCACAGGGACTACAGATATGTACCCCAGGTATAATGGTATAAATGGTATCGATCTGTGCAGAGTTACACTCAAAATCCAGCAAAAGCTACCCTGTGAAAGTCCGGGTTAGAATTGATCTTCAGTAACCCATGCTTGTCATAAGACTCAGTCGACTAACGGGATCGGGTGGTCAGGCTTGCTGACTGGGTTGTCATTGTATCCCAGTTGCGTAGATCGATGTTCATGATGTTGATCCCCTTGAACTCACCCACTCACTCCAGCAAAAGCATGCATTAATATTTCGCATTGATTATTGTTTATATTTCTGAAATGAACACATTCGAGTGATTTCTCAAGATCTTTAGGCTTGTCTGTCAAACATGCAACTTGTAAAGACCAAACTACATTGCACATTGTGTCTTTCAGGATGACAAATGCATGTCAGAAGAAATGTATTCCAGCCAAGTACAGAGATCCCGATTTGACAAAAGGGGAAGCTGTGTGTATCGACAGATGCGTAGCAAAGTACCTGGAAATCCATGACCGAATTGGCAAGAAATTAACATCCTTGTCACAGCAAGATGAAGCAACGATGAAGAAACTTCAATCACAAGTGCAAAATCAATCCTAGCAACAAAATAGACATGAAATAGACATTGTCCATGGTGTATATATGTGGTTTATGTGATGCATGTACGTGTGGAGGTGTATGTAGTCAGATGTTTTTCACCAGAGATAGCTGCTGTTAGGAACAAGATAACAGGATCACATTGCCATCAATCAAATGTCATACTTCATACCAGACTTCCTGTTTCCCCAAAACATTACAGCTGTGAGTATATTGCTCATACTACAAAATCATGATGGTTTTCTTGAAAGTTGTACCCACCAATGGAGATGAGCGATGTACTCAAGTGCACACTGTACACAAGAAAAGTATTCGAGATTTCTGTGTTGACATATGGAATTGAAAATGATAACACATGGGGATGACATTCATATAGACACATCTTTAGATGATGTACACGTTAAAATGTTGTCATGAGTACGCATCATCAGTGATGATTGAAGGTAGATTGGAAAGAATATATTTCATGTGAAGAGTATCATTGTGATATGTGTGGCTGTCATTCAATCATGTCTTGCTGTGTTATGTCGATTCCAGAGGTTCAGAATGAGAGTGAGATCTCAATAGCTGCAGGTGAAGTGAAGAGGTAATATTACAGTGTCATGTCATTGTTTGGGCACTCAGTGTGTGATTATTGAATGCTGCTAATCATTTGTTACTAGCATAGAATTTATATTCAGAGTAAAACATGTCCTTGCATAATGTTTAGTTTATCTATTGTATGAAGACTTTGGAAATAAACATCACATCTAGTTACCGTACTGAACACGTTTTATATACTAGCATCAGCCATGTGATAAAGGTCTCATTGGGTGCTATGTCTTTTAGTTGATTTACAATTTTTAACTAAAATTCAATGTAGGTGGTCAGATTTTTTAATGGGTTTCCTTTGTTGTTTAACGCCACACTCAACAAATTTTCAGCTACCTATTTGACGTGGTCTGTAAATAACTGAGTAGGGACCAGACAATTCATCGATTGACATGAATATCGATGTCCAATGGGGATACAATAACATACATCAACAAAGTCATCGAGCCTGACTACAGGATCCTATAAGGTGCCTCTTACAACGCATAGGTTGCTGAAGACCAATTCTCACTTGGTTTTCATGGGTCTTTTGAGGATATATGATCATCCAGATAAGTACTAGTACCAAAGGGGAAAATACGAATTGTTTGCTCGCTGAGCTTTATCCAAACACAATCAGTGCTCTAATATGTTAATGTTCTTCCACAAGTTTTTGTGGCATTGAATAACAATAGGGTTTTCCCATCTACTATTTATATTCACAATAATGTTGACTTCAAAAGAGGTGCTCTTCCAACTTATTGTTAATTTTACTCTTTTAATTATGTAAGTCGTGTCTGTTATCAAAAACCATGGAACCTCAAAGAGATGGGTCTGGAATGCAGGTTGTGAGCTTCCTTGTTTCCAAGACACCTTATTTGTTGATCCCAGTATTGCCCTGTGCCCATCTTGTGAAGTTTCCACCTCTCTTCCTCAAGCTCTGGATCTGCCTCATAACCCAGTTTCTGTGTAAGACCATCTCTGTTTTTCTAACTAATGCAGTGTTATAACTTGTAACAAACATATACTATTTGACTCCAGGGACTGTGCGGGGCAGTAGGGTAGCCTAGTGGTTAAAGCATTCAGTCGTTGCACCAAAGACCCGGGTTCGATTTCCCACATGGGTACAATGTGTGAAGCCTTTTTCTGGTGACCCCCGCCATGATATTGCTGGAAAATTGCTTAAAGCAGCATAAACCTAAACTCACTCACTCACTCCCCCTGTGTTCAGGGCCAGTTGCCACCCCTGACCTATTTTCAAAGTAGCGGTTGGGTAGCATAATGATTAACGCATCCGCTTGTCACGCTGAACACCCAGGTCAGATTCCCCACATGGGTACAATGTGTGAATCCCATTTCTGGTGTCCCCCACCATGATATCACTGGAATATGGCTAAAAGCAGCTTAAAAGTAGACTCACTCACTATTTCCAAAGATTCACAGCATCTGAAATATCTTCTGAATAACATCTTCAAAATATGATCACTTCATATGATACTTCCAGTATGTTGTGAATGGACTTGAAAGAATGTCTAATGTTCATGGCAGTACATAACGCAGGTTCAGTTGATGCAGATTCTATGTAATTATAGAGATGTAAAGATTATTATGTAGAGATAGCAAAGTTTGTCAGGTTTGGAATATGCTGATGAATTTTAGACATACTAGAATATTAATAACAGAAAAGTGTGATTTCCCAGTTGGTATGTAGATATGTAATATGTCATCCTAAAATATATTTTAGCCAGTGTAGACAGACTGTTTTCCAATTCCAGATGTAATGCTGTTTGTATAACTGCAAATTAATAAAAAGGTAGAAACTGTAAGTGGTGTTCTAGTCACATGTTTGTATCCTGTTTTATATCTGCTTTATATCTGCTTTATATCTGTGTTGTCTGCATTTCCAGTTTAGGCTTCTGCTGACATTTTAGTTCTAACCCACTGAGAACCAATACTGCAGTTTAACAAATGAAGTACACTGTCTCCGAGGGGTATTTTGTTTTTAGCCCCTTAATGCTGCTGGCCAGGGCCCTGTTTCACAAAGTGATCTAGTCTTAACATAGTCTTACGATGGTCTTAGTACGTGATCGTAACACCCGTTCCTTAGCTTAGGATTCTGATAGTCTTGGTGCTGAGATGATCGTATCTCCCAACCTTAACGTAGGCTTATGATAGTCGTAGTGATAAGATGATCGTAACTCCCATACCTTACATAGGCTTATGATAGTCGTAGTGATAAGATGATCGCAACTCCCATACCTTACATAGGCTTATGATAGTTGTAGTGCTAAGGTGATCGCATCTCCCAACCTTAACGTAGGCTTATGATAGTTGTAGTGCTAAGGTGATCGCATCTCTCAACCTTAACGTAGGCTTATGATAGTCGTAGTGATAAGATGATCGTAACTCCCATACCTTACATAGGCTTATGATAGTCGTAGTGATAAGATGATTGTAACTCCCATACCTTACATAGGCTTATGATAGTCGTAGTGATAAGATGATCATAACTTCCATAGGCTTATGATAGTCGTAGTGATAAGATGATCGCAACTCCCATACCTTACATAGGCTTATGATAGTCGTAGTGCTAAGATGATCGTAACTCCCGTACCTTAATATAGGCTTAAGATAGTCGTAGTGCTAAGATGATCGTAACTCCCATACCTTACATAGGCTTATGATAGTCGTAGTGCTAAGATGATCGTAACTCCCATACCTTACATAGGCTTATGATAGTCGTAGTGCTAAGATGATCGTAACTCCAATACCTTAATATAGGCTTATGATAGTCGTAGTGCTAAGATGATCGTATCTCCCAACTTTAACGTAGGCTTATGATAGTCGTAGTGCTTAGATGATCGTAACTCCCATACGTTAACACAGGCTTGCGATAGTTGTGGTGCTAAGATCACTTTGTGAAACGGATGCAGTCAGGGTAGCAGCAAGTACCATTGTTTAGGTATGGCACAGCCAGGGATGACACTCCCCAGGCAGATGCTGTACCCCAAGACCAACCATCAAGGAATTGCAGACATTATAACAGTTCCTTGCAAGTTTTATGTTTTGGGTTTCTCTTATATTGCACGTAATGCCTGGCAAATGTGTATGTACATGCAAGATCCTAGTTTGCTACCATAGAAATCTTCTCCAACTGATTTTATCCCTGAATATCCTCCCCATCAAAAGTTTAGACTCACCAGTGTAAATGTAGCCATTTACTTAGGTCAACTGTTCTAAAATAAATTTAGCAAAATTGTTCATACTGTTTAAAGGTACTGTTACACACGAACTGATGTATTGTAAAACAAATTTGTAACTTTGAAAATATTATTGTCATGAGTTCAATAAATGATGAAACTCAGTGAAAATTGATGAATTCGTAACAAAACTTTACGCCAAAATACAGCTGTTCACATGCACGATATTTGCACATGCTTTACAGCAATTTGATGCATGATCCTCGTGCGATTCATCTGCATAAGGTTTTGTGTTGGTTCCCCAAGTTAGTGGCAGAAATTCATCTTCGATGTAACCATACATATATACATAACATATAGTGAGTGCTTTAAGTGAGTCTAAACTTTTGATGGGTAGTATATATCGTTGGGTTGGGTTTTTTCATTTGGTAAATGATTCTATCAAATATTCAAACTGTGGATCTAAAATACTTTTACAAAGAATATTATTTCTTCTTTAGCTTCTATGAAATATAACGTACCGGTAGATCAAAATATCTTTCAGATTTTGACTAGGCCTGGAGAGAATCACAACATGTTTCACTCATTACATATATTTTTTCAGAGATCAGAAACCATTCACCAGTTCTTCACAAACACAACTGGAGGCGTAGAACATTAACACTTATATATATATATCACTCGTTATGAACTTCTAACATTTCCCGGGGCGGTGGGGTAGCCTAGTGGTTAAAGCGTTGGCTCTTCACGTAGAAGACCCGGGTTCGATTCCACACATGGGTACAATGTGTGAAGCCCATTTCTGGTGTACCCCGCCCTGATATTGCTGGAATATTGCAAAAAGCGGCGTAAAATCATCCTCACTCACTCACTCTTAACATTTCCGACAAATTGACCAATATGCAGTCATTTTCACATTCTAATACTATTTTTATTGCATATAAATATCAACAAATTAATGGGTTTTAACATAAATACATTACCATAAATTCACATGTATCTGTCACAATAATATATATGTGTCAACAGTTTAAAATGTCAACAAACACAGCAAATATAAATACAAGAGCAGTAAGATCTGATGTTCAAATATTTCAGCATAAACACAGAAATACTAAAGGTCGGATGAGATGTAGATATATCTTGTATTTAAAAAGAACAGACATCTTATTGATGCACTTTCAGGAGATAATGACCAGTTTCATCACCTTGGGAGATAATTGACCATGATCAATACCTCACACATTGTTTCATCACCTTCAGAAGACAACAGTTGGACCAGTTTCATCACCTCCAGGAGATAATTGTTGGACCAGTTTCATCACCTCCAGGAGATAATTGTTGGACCAGTTTCATCACCTTCAGGAGATAATTGTTGGACCAGTTTCATCACCTCTAGGACCAGTTTCATCACCTCCAGGAGATAATCCAGGAGATAATTGTTGGACCAGTTTCATCACCTTCAGGAGATAATTGTTGGACCAGTTTCATCACCTCACCTCCAGAAGATAGGAGATAATTGTTGACCAGTTTCATCACCTTCAGGAGATAATTGTTGGACCAGTTTCATCACCTTCAGGAGATAATTGGTTGGACCCAGTTTCATCACCTTCAGAAGATAATGGTTGGACCACTGGACCAGTTTCATCACCTTCAGGAGATAATGGTTGGTCCAGTTTCATCACCTCCAAGGAGATAATTGCTGGACCAGTTTCATCACCTTCAGGAGATAATGGTTGGACCAGTTTCATCACCTCCAAAAGATAATTGTTGGACCAGTTTCATCACCTCCAGGAGAGAATTGTTGGGCCAGTTTTTATACTTTCAGGAGACCAAAGTTGGCCCAGTTTCATGGAAGTCCAGGGCAATCCTCTGTGCCACAGCATCGTTGGTGACATTGTAGACCCTCTCACAGGGAGTGTGAATCTCCCACTGACCCTTGTCCATCAATATCTGACGCTGCTCCTTCACAAACGGTGTAATGTCTTCAATCTTCACAATGAATTGCTTTCCATACTTCTTCAGCATCTGAAATATAACAAGCATATACTGGTTTAATTTCTGAATCTCCACAATCTTACATCCCATCTGATAGGCCCAATTAGTAACATTCCAGTTGTGCAACCAGGTTCCAGTATGGACATCAATCTACGAAACGGTGATATGACGACACCCTTAAGCAGTGTATGAAATAAAGCCTGTCCGACTGCCCGAGATGGGATAGATTTCTGTCAGACGGTCTAATTTTACAGCTAGCCAGCCCGATGGACGGGTGAAAAAAATATTCAGATAACGTGTCCACTGGCACTGTCTATTTAGTATTTAAGAAGGACTGGTTAAATCTCTTCTGGGCTGGTAAGTTTTTGAAGTTACCAGCCCAGATGTCTGGCTGGGTTTTTTGGCTTATGTCATACACTGATTTAAGCCAAGTCAGCTTGCCTTGACAACCTGGTCCCATTCGTTGCCTCTTTTTACAAGCACGGGTTGCTAAGACCAATTCTGGCCTTGATCTCCCCTGCCAGAAACTTGGAAAATGTGAAAAACAACAAGTTTCCATCATGTAATAGTGAATGGGTGAAAGTGAGCTTACATGGCAGTTATCATAATCTAGTTTTATCATGGCAGATAAAGAATCAAGATTTTGTCTGTCAAACCAGTGGTTGATGTCATGAGCAGCATGAAGATATTATACCACCCAATCAGGTAGGTCCCCTATGACAGCCACCTGATCCTCATGTTAATCAGCTTTCAACAAGCACTGGATAATGGGAACCTATTCTGTCCTGGATTTCACTAGAATATATATAACATCATAACCTAACAACATATATATGGACATAACCTAATATAATCTCTAAATGGATATAACCAAATGTAAAAATGGAGATGAATACCAAATCATTAACTCGTTTGATAAAAATGGTATTTCACAAAAGCAAGTTTAGTATTCTGTTTCTTACTCTCTAACATAAACTGATAAAAACTGCGTATGAAGTATGATGATTCTCAGCTTTCCACGAGTCAAGCAAGGTCTAATACCATTGTGACAGAGGTATTAGCATTGTGACGTCATAACTGTAAACCATTATGACATCATACGTTTAGCGCTATTACACTAGTGTAATATTGCCGTAAATATACTACACTGCAGTATCTTCCACGGGCGAGTAATAATCTAATATATCAAATGAATAGATAAACCCAGTATAACCTAATATAAGAATGGATATAACCAAACAATGCGGTATAAGAGACACATTGTACCCATGTGGGAGCATGACGAAGAACCCATGTCTTCAATATGACGAATGAGTGAGTTAAGTTTTACGCCGCTCAACAATATTCCAGCTATATAGGCGGTCTGTAAATAATCGAGTCTGGACCAGACAATCCAGTGATCAACAACAGGAGCATCGATCAATATAACCGATGAATGTAAAAGTCACACATGGAACGTAAAGCATGGGTTACTGAAGATCCAGTACATTCTTTCAATATAAGACAATGTAAAACACACATGGAAGTAACCTACCAGTATAGAGTGGATATAACCCAGTATGTTATATAAGTGGTTAATACCCTGCTGCTATAATAGAAATGAATACAATCAAATCTGAAGAGACAAAATAAAAATAATTACATTTCCTTTGAGGCCAAGTTGAATAGCCCTTCTCTCAACCTTCTCTCCTGACGGGGTGTGATCGGGGTCCCATTGTAGACGTACTTCAATGTCCTCTGTCCTCACATTGCGAGATTTCTGAAACTAATAGCATCACTTTCCTCAGAGCTTTGCAACTTATACTCAAAGATCCCCAAAATGGCTTTGATTGCCATAGTAATATTATTTCTAATAGCTGTCCAATCAAACGACTTTAATGAGCTTGAAACCCTTTGCTAAGTTGGTACTGTGGGATGGTGATGGTGATGTCACTTCTGAACACTAAGGTTTGTTCGTTTGTTTGTTTGTTGTTAATGCCGCATTACGCATTATTCCAGCAATATGGCGGCGATCTGTAAATACATCTGGACCATACAGTCTAGTGATCAACAGCATGAGCATCGATCTACACAATTAGGATACAATGACATGTGTCAACCAAGTCAGCGAGCCTGACCATCCGATCCTGTTAGTTGCCTCTTACAACAAGTATGGGTTGCTGAAGACAAATTCTAACAGGGATCTTCACAGTTCTAACCCGGATCTTCAAGGGTCGGTAATATTGATGATGGTGAGGTCAAATTACTTGTCCCTTTAAGTTTCTGTAAGACATTTAGAGAGGTCATCTTCAGAGGGGGCTTTCACAAATACCCCCACTCCAATCCTTCAAACAGTCAGACAGTGTTCTTACATTGACAGTGTAAGCATTTGCAAGAATCTCTTCAAAGCCATCACGTGTTAAGGTGACAGCAAGCACCCTCTGCTGGTCTTTCTTCGCAGCCCAACCGCATCGATACATCATCCACAGGAAGTTGGTCTTGATCCATGACATGCGTGTATAACTGAAGCTGTCGCCACCGAACCTGAAACAGTAGTCACAGTATGTAGAAACATGCTATCTAATAGATTGTAGGGATGGGCAGGCCATAGGCAAATATACTGAACAACATTAGAAACGCACCACCCATATAATACGAAATATCCCTGTCAGACTGAAATGTACCCATGATATCTGAGCATCGTCTGTGCATTTTAGTGTGGTGCGTTTCTAATTATGCTCAGTATATTTACATATGATGAAAACAAGTAAGGGCTTGTTGAAATAATTTCTAGTTTCAAATGAATCCAAATATTTTGTTCTCATGAAGCACTGCTATTAATTAGAAACATTTTCAATTTTTTTATTTACACCACATTACGATTTATTAACCATGTTGAACAGCTGCATCTGATGCCAAGGGGCTATTTAGTAAATCAAGTTTACTTTATAGATTACAAGCTTACATCAGAAATAAAAATAAATTAAAATCCTCATGAAAAAAATTAAGGTAAAACAAACATATTTTTAACCTATGCATTTAATATTATTATACAAAGATCATTTTCACATTTCTACATAATTTACCAAAAGAGCAATCAAACCTGATTAGAAACCTGCCATGCTTTTATTTATTTAGCTGAGAATTGAGATGAAGTCTGACAGATTTTATGTTATGATTGTCACACTACATCGATCACAGCTCTTCCTTAAACCCAAATTACATAAAAGAGCTAGCTAGGTTATATGCCATTCGCATAAAGCTGCATTACATGGGCAAATCAGAAACATATTATCCTTGTTCAAATCCTAGTTCCCTCCAATATGCTTCTAAGAGTTAATACGGTCCCCCTACTACTAAAAAAGGTAAGAGCTCCTCCTGTTCCCCATCCCAAATAATATTTGTAAATATACTAAAATTATTAACAAAACTTAACACAACAATTACTAAAGAACTCACAAAATGACTAAAAGTCCAAAATTTAAGTTGGGGTTTGGTTTAGGGTTAGAGTTATTTAGGGTTAGGGGAACGGAAGGAACTCTTTCCCTAAAAAATAATTAAATATATAAAAATAAAAATTTTCACGTTCCATAATTTACTAAGAATGACTAAAGTCATGGGATTAACATATTGTTTCTTGCTTGTTGTTTAACGCCTCATTCAGCAATATTATCTTATCCTAACTGTAAAAATGCATCGGTCTGTGGTGATAAGGATCAACACTCACTCCTGGTGTTCCACAGCATAGCTGGCGATAGACGGATTGAACGCTTGATACACAACCACCGTCTTCTCGTCGTAGTGGGCCAGAATGTGACGGCCGCTTTTGGGCCAGCGTTTGTTCTGTTCGGCGTAGGGCTCAGTTACCAGTTTAGTCTCACGAGAAGGGGTAGCACACGCCATTCTTTAGGTAGTCCTACGTGAATTGCACAAATATTGCACTGACTGCATGCTCATATATGTACGAGTTCCGAATTTCAAACTTTGGTGCAATACCTCTGCTCAAGAATTTCGGACATGCTGACAGCTCCTTGCCACGCTCTCTGCATTGAGTATGGCTTTCATTAAAACTACATGCACTGTGTGGAGTATCCGTGCTTGTCGACGCACATGCAACTTCCTGTTTTGATACTATAAATAGAGCTCCATGCGCGAAATACTGCACCGGAAAATCTCGAAATCATCATCATATTTGCCCATTTGTCCACAAATCAATCACATTGTCGTCCAAAAGTTGAAATTTATTTATTTAAAAACGAATGTGGATATTTGCTTTACACGAAACACTCTAAAATAAAGAGTAAGTGCATCAGCACTATTTCAGATATGAGATAGTGAGTGAGTTCCGTTTTGAACTGCTTTTAGCAATATTCCAGCAATACCTCGGCGGGTGATACGTGTGAATGTGTTCATGGAAATCGAACCCTGGTCTTCGGTGAGGCGAGAACGCTTTAACCACTTGGCTTCCCCACCGCCCGACATAAGATAAAGAAATGAAAAGGGATTCAAGTACCTTACGTTGGCAGCTTCTTAGAGTGGTAATTGTGAAGTTTGGAACTACAATACTGACAAATTTATGGATAACAACTTCTTTTATTGTACATAAGTTAAAACTGGTAGAACTGGCAATTAGTGCGAGTTCTGTTTGTCATTATAAATTTTAATTACATAACGTTACAAATAATCTTAATTATAAATATTATAGACTTGGCATATATTCTATAAATAGTCAGGCATATATTCTTTAAAATATGTAGGTATATATACCATATGTGTGTGAGAGAGAGAGAGAGAGAGAGAGAGAGAGAGAGAGATTCATATGGATTATAGATATGAGCAAAATTTATATTAATCATTATGGGTTTCTATGAATATATAGCCTGGGCTCTTAACGTTGTTTTACCTGTCTCTACATTGCCCGCCCAAGGAACAGCCAGACCTAAGTATACCTGTACACTAATCTTGTCTAGAGTTAATTAGTAAGTGAGACGCTATATTCTCTAAATATCACGAGCGGGTGAATATTGTAAACGATTATATAGAGGAGAATTTTCCCTTGTCTCCATTGGCCGAGAACTGGTCACATGACAGCTATATCATCATAGTCGTGAATAATCATCCTTGAATTTTCTGAGAAGTACGTATCCATTCTTTTATGATATGGGGCGGTGGGGGAGGCTATTGGTTAACGCTTCGCTCGCCATTTCTCGTGTAATTGTTAAGAGCGACGTAAAACCAAATTCACTCAATCAGTCTTTTATGATACTAAAATTCAGATATAGTACGTGTACACTGGATGGTAGGTTAGCATATTTTTGGCCACGCAAAGCCGTGACTGTAAGCACGTAAGAGCCCACTCCCGGAGCGTGGTAAGAGCCGCGATCTAGACACGGTGACGCAAAAACAAAAACAATGTCAGCATTATATTACGTCAGAGTCAATGTTGTGTGACGTCATAACAAAGTATGACGCGTGGTCGGTATACTTAGGAGATAAACCATGTAAACGTCATGTGTTGAGTATTTATTTCATTTGGAACCCACGGCATTTGTGTAAACACAAAAGTAAACCAAAAGTCCACACGCGTTTTTCTGTCTGCACTCAGTGGCATCGAGTACGGGTACAGCAGTGAAGTGTCATCAGCCGGGCCGTTTCAAGGAATCGAATACCATTCGATCATGTTTTTCAACCAATCAGATTAAAGAACACAGTGACTTTTGGTTTACAATAGAGCCACGCAAAGGGCCATGACCAGAAACGAGGACAGCGTTTTTGTGTTTCGGTCCTGGTCGCACCTTTAAATAATCGACCGTTTTTATAAGTCTTCTGTCAAGTCGGGAAAACTTAACTTCGTTTCCAGATCATTTTAAAAGGGAAAACAGCGACACAAATCTGAGCATTCGGGAACCAGTAAACGAGGGCGGCAAGGTGCACTATATGTCACTGGATAAATAATATATAGAGGATATTATATGAGTGCCCGTGTCATACTATGTTTACGACACGAGTGCCTAGATGTTGGTATTTCACGAGCGAGAGCGAGGGATATACCGATATTTAGGCACGAGTATGATATGGGCACGAACATAATATTCTGTTTATCACCGAAGTCGTCAAATTGAGGAAAATAAACCCAAGTCCACTTTCAAACATAGGCTGGCTACACGCCGTCGCTGCATGTAGAACGCAACGTCATAGAAGAAACATGACGTCATAGCATTGTTCATGACGTCACGTCACCATGATAAAGTGATATTTTGCCCTAGGGCATCGTGTGAACAATATGAACCCCGATATTTTCGCCCTCGTAGGTACTAAACCCCTATTTTGATACCTTCATTAGATCCATTCTTACAAAATAATTTTTAGAAAAACAGGATAAGAAACGGAAAGACTCCCTGATTTCAAATTAAATTTACATACAGGTAACTACGGTACGGTTATAACGAACTCAAAAGGACTAGTTAAATGTTAGATTTTTAATGACATCAACCGTCAGTTCTGACGAATGACCTTTTGACGAATGATCTTGCAGTTTGAAGTAGTGAATCACGAATTTGTCTCTGAAATAGCGCCTCTTTCTTTCAGCCACACGACGAACGTTCAGTTCTGAATGATGAAAGTGTGAACTTCAGATATGAATAATCACTTAGTGTACGATGACAGATAAAAAAAAATAATTTTGGTGACGTTTCTTTCTCCCGTGAGTTTAGTATATATTACTTATGAGTAACAACACTGCATTGGTCATCAAAACAGAGATGTCTTATACAGAAACTGGGTTAAGAGGCTGATCCAGAGCTTGAGGAAGAGTGGTGGAAACTTCACAAGACGGGCACAGGGCAATACGGTGTCTTGGAAACAAGGAAGCTCACAACCCGCATTCCAAACCCATCTCTTTGGGGATCCATGGTTTTTGATAACAGACACGACTTACATGTGTCGGTGGACTAATAAAACATATTGCAACGTCAACTTTCATAAACTTCAGAGATGAAAACAATTTTTCTAAGAGTGTAGTAAAGTCCAAATTTCACGGAACGCATACATGTAACACGTACCAGCCATAGAGATAGAAAAGTCCCAGAATAATGTTATATGAATAGTGTTATATATGTGCGTGCGTGTGTGTGCGTGCGTGTGTACGTGCGAGCGAGCGCGCACGCGCGAGGGCGCACTTATAAGCACAAATCTATAAACCTGTGAAGGTCCAGGTTAGAAACGATCTTCAGCAACACATGCTTGTCGTAAGAGGCGACTGACGGGATACGGTGGTAAGGCTAGCTGACTTGGCATTCGTGACCAACTCGTGTTATTCCGGGACAAGCCGAATAGCGACTCGTGCCCCTCTCGATGGATTTCATATTGGCGCATGAACAACAGAACTACTTTAAACAAGAACGACAACTCTATCCCTGTTTGATTCCAATATTTCTTAATATCACCGAAGCACATGTACATTGATAGGTTGTTGTTTTGGGGATTTTTATACTTATTTATTTTAAAGAATTAAACCACTTTGATACAACTAAAAGAAAAAGAAAAACATATTTGTTAAAGACATATTCTAATGTAATTATTACCAGCGGTTCACCTTATATTTCCAATTATGTTAATTTTCTTAATAGGGTTTAATCATCACAAATGGGAATTGATTTATTGAATATACACACAAAAATATTTCAGCTACATTAAATCCAAAAGCATATACTCAAAAATGACTTTAAAATATTTCTCAGACTGAACATTCATGTAACCTTGCTGTCACACCCCTGGTGGAATTTCAAATGGATTCGCTGAAAAAAATGTGAATGACCCAAAAAACACTCAGACTAAAATATCCCCAGAGCTATGAAATATCAGCCCAATGTTAAAGATTAAGGTTGATTAATTACATACAAATACGATATTATTGATTTGAAACTCATAGCGATTATAATTACATTTCCTAAAATTGGTCGAAGCGCACGTACAATCTCCATAACAAGCCTGCAAGATCATCAGAAATACACTCACTTGGACCCATGAGAGCAGTTATGTCAACAAACGCACGTGCGTGTATTTGAATCTCTCACCGTCACTCGCATGATTCTTTTTAAAAACTTCATAATAGGCAGCAAAATCCTTTTAGCTACGTTCTTTGTACTTTCAATATGACGATATATATTTTTCATGATTCTTTAGACAATAACATAATGCCATAAACGATTTAAGTACTCGGGATTATTTTTATCAAAGCACCGCGCTCATTTACGCGCGTTCTGATTGGTTTGTCGTATTTTCGCACATAACTAGCATCGTGTGGGGGACGAGTCTTCTTGGAGGTTACGGAAAGGGGCGAGTGGTGACGAATGCTGACTTGGGTGATTCTTGTTATCGTATCCAAGATGCGTCGATCGATGTTCATAATACCGAGAAGGGTTGGTTTGCAGAGTTTCTAAAACAAACAAACGATGAAAGCTTTAAGCGCCGAGGCTATCATTGACGAGTGTAGATATATCTGATTTGAGGCGACAAGACTGTTACTGAGCCCCCGTTACACTGCTAAACCCGTTGATAACGCTTTTGGTGGACATTGATGGAAGCGAAATATATCTTGTTTCTCCGATTAAACCCTCCAGTTTTTTTCAATCCTGGTTACGAATATGCGGTTTCACTTATTTTCAAGAAACAACTCCAGTGTCCCTTTCATTCTTAGATCCTTTATATGGTTATGAATGCGGTTTCCAAACCTTGGTAAAGGCTTGTTGAAGACAAGCACCTTTAACGCATGTGCCACGACGCCCCTTTCATTCTTAAACGACATTATCCAAAATATACAACAACAGTAATAGCCGTGAAGGTCCTTAGGAATTGATCTTCAAACCCATGCTTGTCGTAAGGTACTAAGGCTTGTTGAGGTTCCTGACTTCATTGACATAGGTTCCCAATTGACGATCGATGCTCATGCCGTTCATTCTGGATTTTCTCTTCCAGACTCGATTACCGCCGTCATATAAATATTGCAGTAAGGCGTAAAACTAAACTCACAACAGAAA